TGCGGCATTAATGGCGGCTGCAATTTCTGCACTGTTAGGCAAAATTAGATCATTAGAAGCTCCATGTTTCCCCCCAGCAATGGGAGAAATCTAGTTGAGAAAGGAATTGATGGGTAAACAGCAGAGACTGGGAAGAGACTTAAATCCATTGCTGAGTAGATCTTCAACTTCAGAGCTTCCACAATATCGTTCTGAGCGTAACTGGCTGTCATGCAAAGTGGCAAAACTCTCTGTTGCAGCTTCTTCCCTTTAGACAATCAAGGGTAATTTCTCTAATTGGCACGTTCGCTAACGAGAGGCATGTAAACATAAAGGCACAGAATGGGACATTAAGCCTAATGTCTCTAACTGCAGCATTATTGCCAGAGCAGCTAAACCAGGTATCTTTAAGTATAAAGTATGATGAGTTGCACAGCTGCTAGATGGGAGCGCCCAAGCATGCAAAAAGTGCCTTTTGCACCAAAGACCCAGACAGTTAACACAACTAGGCTCCTGGAATCACTTCTACAAAATACCAAATACTAAAAGTACAAAAATGATGTAGTTAGTCCTTGACTTACAGTCACAATTGAGCCCAACATGGATGTGGCTACGTGAGACATTTGTTAAGTGAGTTGTGCCACCATCTTATGACTTTTTCTTGCCACAGCGAAGTGAGTCACGGCAGTAGTTAAATTAGTAACACAGTTGTTAAGTGCATCCCCCATTGCGTTTGCTTTTCGAAAGATCGCAAAAGGGGACCACGTGACCCCAGGATACGGCAACCATCATAAATATAAACCGGTTGCCAAGCGGGCGAATTTTGATCACGTGACCATGGGGAGGCGGCAACGGTCATTAAGTAGGAAAAATGGTCCTGTCACTTTTTTCCAGTGCTGTTGTAACTTTGAACGGTTACTAAATGAACGACGGTAGGAGAAGGACTCCAGTCTGTGCCAAACCAATCCCATTGTGAAAACACAGCTAGTTAATTTTTTTTAGCAAATAAATACGCGGTTGCATACTCCGTTCTCAGGTTTTGCGACTCTGCTGTGTGCTTATTAAAGTCTGAATTCCTGCGGGAGTCCGAAAATAATGTGAATAATTCCCCATGTTATCGTGTGCGTAGCTTGCATCCAAGCTAGAAGTTGACGAGAACATACAGATCTGGAAGATCAATTGCATCGCTCTTTCTCCGTCCTGGATAATGAAATGTACCTTGTCACTTCTTGTTCCTGTTCAATTAGAATTCGGTCAACCACTTTCCCAGGCACAATTAAGAAATGGATACTCCTTCGGTGCCATTCAGTTTTATTACCTTTCCTATTATGGAAGGGAATAATAATGGCATTCTGCCAAGGGACAAGTACAGGTGTGGGCCTCACACACCTTCAACAAGCTGCACAGTCATTCCTGAAGACTTTACATCTCCATTTTCACATTGCTCCAGCTGTACAGGGAGTCCTTTTCTTACGACCACAGTTGAGCCCAAATTGTCCATTGCTAAGTGACACAGGGACTGCGGCCAAGAAATTAAAAGACGCTTGCTCCTGGGGAGGAAAGCTATGGCAAATCTAGACAGCATACTAAAAACTAGAGACATCACCCTGCCAACAAAAGTATGTATAGTCCAGGTCATGGTTTTCCCAGTTGCCATGTAGGGCTGTGAAAGTTGGACCACAAGAAAGGTTGAGTGCCAAAGAATGGAGGCCTCTGAATTATGGTGCTGGAGAAGACTCCTGCGAGTCTCCCGGACTGCAAGGTGATCAAACTGGTCAGTCCTAGAGGAGATCAACCCCAACTGCTCTTTAGAAGGCCAGATCCTGAAGTTGAAACTCAAGTACTTTGGCCACCAAATGAGAAGGAAGGACTGGAGAAGAGCCTGATGCTGGGAGAGATGGAGGGCAAGAGAAGAAGGGGACGACAGAGAATGAGGTGGCTGGAGTCACTGAAGCAGGAGGCGTGAGCTTCAATGGACTCCAGAAGATGGTAGAGGACAGGAAGACCTGGAGGAACGTGGTCCATGGGGTGGCGATGGGTTGGACATGACTTCGCAACTAACAACAACAAAGCAACACAGTGGTTAAGTGAGTTTTGCTCCATTTTATGAGCTTTCTTGCCACCGTTGCTAAACGAATCACAGCAGTTGTGAAGTTGGTCACAGGCTCATTTAATGAATCTAGCTTCCCTGTTGACTTTGTCAGAAGATTGCAAAAAGGGGATCACATGATCCCGAGAGACACTGCAACGGTCATAAATACATGCCGGTTGCCATGTTGATCCTGTCACCATGGGGACATTGCAATGGTCATAAGTGTGAAAAATGTTCGCCAAGTCACTTTTTTCAGTCTCGGTGTAATGGTCGCTAAATGAATCATTGTTAAGTCAAGGACAACCTGTAGTTACAAATGCTCCAACACTGGAAGTTTTTAAGAAGAGACTGGACAGCCATTTGTCTGAAATGGGGTAGGGTTTCCTGCCTCAGCAGGGGGCTGGATTAGATGACCTCCAAGGTCCCTTCCGACTCTATTATTATTGTTGTTGCTGTTGTTGTTATTTACTTTACTGCATTCTCACACTCCTTATGACTTTTTGACAATTTTGTTTTTTTCTTGGACACAAAAGATTTAATGGCCTCTCTTTCCGTTCTATTCATCAGCACATCACAGTCAATCTCAAAAAAGATCTCTGAACGACGTCCTCCAGCATTGCCTCACTCCTGTCTTATTCAAAATCATTTTCATCATTTTTATTTTCAGTTCCCTTCACTCTGCTGTGGAGGCCTTGTCCAGTTCTCTTCATCCATTTCCAAATCAGTTTTTTAAACCGTCTGTCAAAATCACACTGCATTTTCTCAGCCATTTTTAATCTGAGCTGCTCCCGGCTCTCTTCAACCACTCGTTTGTCGTCACTTGTTCAATATGCACATGACTCAGTTTCTCTTGCACTCGTTTTTTCCCCCTGTAATTATTCACTCATGACTTTTTTTCTCACCCACGGAATCTCACACCTTCCATTGTACCAAGCTTACCTTTTCATATTTCTCATTAGTGTAATCCTACCCACTTTTTTTTTCTCTGTGTCCCAAGCAGCTTTCATATCCTCTTTTCTTAACTGTTTTCTATTTACTCTGTTGGGAGATTAACCTATCTGGGTTTGTTTTTAGTTCTATTTCAGGATATTCTCTTCCCATGATTGTTCTACAGGTAGTCCTGCCTCCAGGTGCTTTGGAGAACAGGTTGACCCCCCCCTTCTTTGTGGCCCCTTAAATACTGAAATCCTGCTTTCGTGTCGCCCCTAGTCCTTCTCATTAAACTAGACATCCCCAATTCCTGCAACTGTTTTTTGTATGTTTCAGCCTCCAGCCCCCTAATCATCTTTGTTGCTCTTCTCTTTCTAGAGTGCCTCCCCCCCCCGCACCCCTTCCTGAGCTTTTCAAGGCAGATTCTCCCTCTGGGCAGTGTGCTATTCCTTGGTGCAATGCTAAAATTTGGGCACCTTGCAGGGAAGGCAACCAAAAAATGAATTTCTTTCTTTCTTTCTTTCTTTCTTCTTCTTCTCTCTCCCTCTCAACTTTCTATTTCAATAGTGACCCTTCCTCCCTTCTGTCTTTCTCTTTTGTTACTTTCTATTTCTTCCTTTCTTTCTTTTCCTTCCTTTTCTTTCTTTTTCTTTCTTTCTTTTCTTTTGACTTTCTATTTCCTTTCTTTTCCTTCCTTCGTCTGTCTTTTGTGACTTTCTTTCTCTCCCTCCCTCCCGCCTTCCTTCCTCCCATTCCCTCATTCTTTCCTTCCTTTCCTTCTGTCTCTCTCCCTATCTTTTGTGACTTTCTACTTCCTCCCTGTTTTTCATGATTTTCTATTTCTCTCTCTCAACTATCTCTCTATTTCAGTGGTGACCCTCCCTTCTCTCTTTTGACTTTCTATTTCTTCCTTCCTTTCTTTTTCCTTCCCTTTTTTTCTTCTGACCCTCCCTCTTTTGTGAGATTCTATTTCTTCCTTCCTTTCTTTTCCTTCATTCCTCCCTTCCTTATTCCCATCTCCTTCCTTCCTTCTCTCTCCCTTTTGTGACTTTCTATATCTTTCTTCCTTTCTTTTCCTTCCTTTCTCCCTTCCTCTTATTCCCATCTCCTTCCTTCCTTCTCTCTCCCTTTTGTGACTTTCTATTTCTTCCTTCCTTTTCCTTCATTCCTCCCTTCCTCTTATTCCCATCTCCTTCCTTCCCTCTCCCTTTTGTGACTTTCTATTTCTTCCTTCCTTTCTTTTCCTTCGTTCCTCCCTTCCTCTTATTCCCATCTCCTTCCTTCCTTCTCTCTCCCTTTTGTGACTTTCTATTTCTTCCTTCCTTTCTTTTCTGTCATTCCTCCCTCTTATTCCCATCTCCTTCCTTCCTTCTCTCTCTCTTTTGTGACTTTCTATTTCTTCCTTCCTTTCTTTTCCTTCATTCCTCCCATCCTCTTATTCCCACCTCCTTCCTTCCTTCCTTCCTCCCTCCCTCCTCTCCCTCTTTTGTGACTTTCTATTTTCTCCCCGTCTTTCATGATTATCTATTTCTTTCTCTCTCTCATCTCTCTATTTCAGTGGTTCTCAACCTTTCTAATGCGGTGACCCCATAATATAGTTCCCCATGTTGTGGTGACCCCCAAGTGGGTGTGGCCACCAATAAGAGGGAGTAGGACAGCTAGGGAAAAGGGAAAAAAATGGCAGACAGCGTGGTTTGGTGACCCCCGTGAAATGGTCATTCGACCACAAATGGGGTCCCGACCCACAGGTTGAGAACCACTGATCTATTTCAATGGTGACCTTTCTTCCCTTCCGTGTGTGTGTCTCTCTCTCTCTCATGACTCATTTCTTTTTCTCGTGATTCTCTCTGTATTTCTTGCTCTCTCCTTTCTCTCTATTTCAATGGGGACCCTCCCTCCCTTCCCTCTCTGGCCCCCCCTCCCCATTCCTGGCTGGGTCCAAAGGACCAGCGGAGCCCCCTTCAACCCGGCCACCTCCTCGATCCCCCCGGGGAGGAAAGACCCAGCCGGGACCCCTCCTCCTCCCGCCCGGCTGGAAGGAAGCGTCCTCCTCCTCCCGGGCTGGGCGCCTCCCCGGCAGCGCCCGGCCCGGCCCGGCCCGGCCCTGAAAAGCGGCGTCGGCGTTTCCCGGCGGAGGCGGTGCAGCGACGGACCTTGTCCCCCAGGGCCTCCTCTGACCATGCAGGCCCGGGTGGCGTTCCTGGGCAAGGCGAGCGGCGGTGGCGGGCCCTGCGGGGGCTCCTCGGCCGCCCGCCGGGTTCGACTCCTCCTGCAGCAGGTGGCCGGGCTGCGGGGCGGCGGATTCCGGGCCTCGCACGGCGGGACAGGCGGCCAAGGTAAGGCGGGCTCCCCCGGGAGGCCTTTCGTCCTGCCCGGGGGGAGGAGGGGGAGGAGGAGGAGGAGAAGGCGGGCGCCCCGGAGAGCCTGCAGGGCGAGGATTTGGCTCTCTCTGGAGGGGGAGGGGGCTTCGGGGTGGGGAAGGGGCTGCTTTACGATGGGGGGGGGGCGGAGAGGTCAGCTGGAGAGGCTGGGGACTTCTGGCCCTCCGTCTTTCTTTCTTTCTTTCTTTCTTTCTTTCTTTCTTTCTTTCTTTCTTTCTTTCTTTCTTTCTTTCGGAACTTTATATTTCAATGGTTACCTTTCCTCCCTCTTTCTCTCGCTTTCTCTCTTTCCTTCCTTACTTTCTGACTTTCTTTTGCAACTCTCTCTCTCTGTGTGTGTCAATGGTAACCTTTTCCTTTCCTCCCTCCCTCCCTCCCTCCCTCTCTCTCTCTCTCTCTCTCTCTCTCTCTCTTTCTTTCTTTCTCAACTTTATATTTCAATGGTTACCTTTCCTCCCTCTTTCTCTCTCTCTCTCTCTTTCCTTCCTTACTTTCTGACTTTCTTTTGCAACTCTCTCTGTCTCTGTGTGCGTCAATGGTAACCTTTTCCTTTCCTCCCTCTTTCTTTCTTTCTTTCTTTCTTTCTTTCTTTCTTTCTTTCTTTCTTTCTTTCTTTCTTTCTTTCTTTCTTTCGCGACTTTATATTTCAATGGTTACCTTTCCTCCCTCTTTCTCTCGCTTTCTCTCTTTCCTTCCTTACTTTCTGACTTTCTTTTGCAACTCTCTCTCTGTCTGTGTGTGTGTCAATGGTAACCTTTTCCTTTCCTCCCTCTTTCTTTCTTTCTTTCTTTCGCGACTTTATATTTCAATGGTTACCTTTCCTCCCTCTTTCTCTCGCTTTCTCTCTTTCCTTCCTTACTTTCTGACTTTCTTTTGCAACTCTCTCTGTGTGTGTGTCAATGGTAACCTTTTCCTTTCCTCCCTCTTTCTTTCTTTCTTTTGCAACTTTATATTTCAATGGTTACCTTTCCTCCCTCTTTCTTTCTCTCTCTTTCCTTCCTTACTTTCTGACTTTCTTTTGCAACTCTCTCTGTCTCTGTGTGTGTCAATGGTAACCTTTTCCTTTCCTCCCTCTTTCTTTCTTTCTTTCTTTCTTTCTTTCTTTCTTTCTTTCTTTCTTTCTTTCTTTCGCAACTTTATATTTCAATGGTTACCTTTCCTCCCTCTTTCTCTCTTTCTCTTTCCTTCCTTACTTTCTGACTTTCTTTTGCAACTCTCTCTCTCCGTGTCAATGGTGACCTTTTCCTTTCCTCCCTCTTTCTTCCTTTCTTCTTCCTTTCTTCCTTTCCTTCCTTCCTTCCTTCCTTCCTTCCTTCCTTCCTTCCTTCCTTTCACAACTTTATCTCTCAATGGTTACCTTTCTCTCTCTCTCTCTCTCTCCTCCCCCCCCATGGTGACCTTTTCCTTTCCTCCTTCCTTCCTTCCTTCCTTTCTTTCGCAACTTTATCTCTTAATGGTTACCTTTCTTCTCTCTCTCTCTCTCTCTCTCTCTCTCTCTCAATGGTGACCTTTTCCTTCCTTCCTTCCTTCCTTCCTTCCTTCCTTCCTTCCTTCCTTCCTTCCTTCCTTCCTTCCTTCCTTCTTGACATTCTTTGTAACTTTCTCTCAATGGTGACCTTCCTTCCTTCTTTCTGAATTTTCTTTGACTTTCTTTTGTGACTTTTTCTATCTCTCAGTGGTGACCCTTCCTCCTTTTCCCCACTTGATAATAGATATGTATGGAGAGATGGAACATAAAAACTTAATAGGTAGAGCACGATGTGGGCCCTTGTGTGGCCCAAAACTAGAAGTCGGTCTATTAAGTGTTCTGGGCGCCCTGTTGTGTGAAGACAGCCACTATTCTCGGGACTGGTGGAGAAACAGGAAAGCTACAATTCCTTCAAAGAAGAATCTAGCACTGGGGGCGGGGGGGGGGAGCACCTTGTACTCACTGCCGCTTCTCACAATGAATTTATCCCACGGTGAAACACAATTGACCCAACCCATGCTGGGCGTGCATCACGCGTAGGCTGAAATGTGGTTTGCCAACTGTGGGTTTGTGGTGACAGGCCCACATGTTGCAACAACTTTGACAGGCAGCCTTCTTTTTCTCCTTCTGCTAGATCCGTGTTTACTTTAATCTTTACTGATTGTCGGTCACATGCTTTCTGAAAATGAACCCGCTGTGCAAAGAGCCTCTCTGCCTGGCTTTCTGAGTGGCTGGGTGTCCACAGGGGGAGGGCAAAGGTGAGAATAATATGGGTATATGTTCTTCCACGCTTTTGCTGTCTGCCCTGGGCCCTTTCTCCATTGCTCAAAAGCCTTCACACAGTGTCAGGCTGCCGCCTGTGAAAATCCATAAGGTGACCAACCGTCCTCCTTTAGGGAGGACAGTCCTCCTTTTGTAAGTTCTGTCCTCCCTCAAAAAGTGTCCTCCTTCATGTCCTCCTTTTCGATATTTGAAGACTAATCTGCAGGGTTTTTTTCCCCTCATAGAATGCTCAGAACGGCGTTCCGGCATCTTTTTTTGATGGGTTTTGTTTTCAACTTTTGCATGAGCTGTGCTACTCCCACTATTGGCTTTCGAAAGCCAATAGGAATTGCTGCTGAGCGCGCCAAAACACCCGGCTGGCAAACTTTGCACATGCAAGTTGTCTGTATTATTGTTGCAATGAATAAAATGGTTCTTTTATTTACGATATTTTTTTTCTTCAATTTATTTGTGTCCTCCTTTTCATTGCAAAAAAGTTGGTCACCTTAAAATCCAGGGACCACAGAGAAGTGGCACAGAGTATAAAACAGGCGAGGCTATCTTGCCTATGTGATTGGAACCCAAATGTTCCTGAGGAATTTTCTAAAACTACAGTATTCTAGGGCTTACAGGTAACCCCCAGCGTGTGATACCTGACAGGTAGCCCTTGAGTTAAGACTGCTTATTCAAAGTCCGTGATTTTGTGACCGTTGCAGCTACACCATCATGTGATCACAATCTGAATACTCAGTGCCTCTGGCTTACAATCACGATGTTGCAGATGGCTGCGGCGATGTGATCCCAATGTCCAGTGGTCTCTGCTATCTTCTCACAAGCACCCGGAAACCTGCCCAGCCTCGTCTGTCATTCCCACCTCTTCCTGCTTAATGACCCACACGATCCTAGGGTTAAGTGGTAACCAGGACAGTCGGTGCTTGTCAACACAAACCCACACCGTCTTTATGACTGCATTGCCTAGCGACCCAAATTCCAGTCCTAATTGCCGTGTTTCTAATTGTGTGGAATAAACGCTCTGCTTTCCATAATGGAAAACTAAACCTATTTTAAACTTATCACTCCCCCAGGTTTCAGCTTGGGCATAATGGAATAATTTAACCTCTCAAATAAAATGCACGGAGACGTTGATATTGATTTTTTTACTGGAACAAGCGCTCAAATCAACGTCGTTAGGAAAGATTACGGATAAACCTGGCACGGTTTTCCCTCTATTTTTATTATGGTCCCAGCTGTCCGTACTGTATTTGTCTTTGGACAAGCCTTTTTTTTTAAAGCAAGATACTTTGCAATGTATTTTGACCCTTTTAGCATGTTTCTTACTGAATAGCTGTTGACATTACAATACTGACAATTCTTTTCAATATATATTTGCAGTAATAATAATAATAAATAATAATATTTATTATTATTATTACATATTAGATGGACAACAGAGAGAAAAAGTATGTGTTTCTGCCTATGTGTAAGCAACGATAAATAACTACCGTATTATTTCTCCCTTTCAGGTGATACTGTTAATATCGGAGACGTATCCTACAAACTCAGAAAGCCCCAAAACCCAGAACTGATCCCAGTGAACTACAGTAAGAAGCAGTATTATCTTAAAATTAACCTCTAAGTAAAAGTCTAGTCCAGGGGTAGGCAACCTTGGCTCTTTTATGACTCGTGGACTTCAACTCCCAGAATTCCTGAGCCAGCATGGCTAAGCACGGAAACTCTCCCTTTCCCCTCAGCATGGCTGGCTCAGGAATTCTGGGAGTTGAAGTCCACGAGTTATAAAAGAGCCAAGGTTCCCCACCCCTGTCCTATATCAGAGGTCCTCAACCTTGGCTCTTTTATGACTGGTGGACTTCAACTCCCAGAATTCCTCAGCCAGCATGGGGGAACTATGGCCCCTTCGTGACTGGTGGACTTCAACTCCCAGAATTCCTGAGCCAGCATGGCTCAGCTTGGAAACCTCTCCCTTTCCCCTCAGCATGGCTGGCTCAGGAATTCTGGGAGCTGAAGTCCATGAGTCATAAAAGAGTCAAGGTTGCCTACCATTGAACTAGGATAACTCTCCAGGACACAATTCAATGCTGTATTAAATGTTGAATTCAGTTACTTTTATTGTTGGTCACCCTGTTTTCTTTGAAATTATTGTTACTCTTGTATTTCTGGGGTCCGTTGAAATCAGTCTAAGCGGTCTTCCAAGGTAGAACACATTCAAGTAGCCCAGGGGTCCTCCAACTTGGCCCTTTGATGACTTGTGGACTTCAACTCCCAGAATTCCTCAGCCAGCCTCCATTTTGTTGGTTAGATTTAAGACAGGGGTCTTCCAACTTGGCCTTTTTATGACTCACGGACTTCAACTCCCAGAATTCCTGAGCCAGCATGGCTCAGCTTGGAAACCTCTCCCTTTCCCCTCAGCATGGCTGGCTCAGGAATTCTGGGAGTTGAAGTCCACCAGTCATAAAAGAGCCAAGGTCACCTACCCCTAGTCTAGCTGAATATATTTTATTGCATAATCCTTGGTGCACAGAATACCAGAACGTCAGAAATGTTGTTCTACCATAAATAAAATTGACCAAACAATATTCAGCTGGTCACCAAACTCCAGTTGAATGTAGTCAGGTTCTCCATCTTCTAAAATGTCAGGCAGAAATCTATCTATCTATCTATCAATCTATCTATCTATCTATCTATCTATCTATCTATCTATCTATCTATCTATCTATCTGTGGTTGTTGCGATGTTAACGTGTTAGTGAAAACTCAGAACGCCTTGCAGAGAAGACAGCATGAAAAAAAATGCAGCAAATAAATAGCACAACACAACTAGGTTCAATACGCATTTGCTCCACAAATTTTCATTCAGTGCAGGTTGTCCTTGGTTTAACGACCATTTTTGTCGCTAAGTGAGACAGTTAAGTGACTTTTGCCCCATTTTACCATCTTGTCACAAGTGAATCCCTGCAGTTGTTAAGAGTCAGTAAGGCGGTCGTTAAGCGAATCCTGATTCCCCCGTTGACTTTGCTCGTCAGAAGTTCACAAAAGGGTGTCACGTGACCCCCGGGACGCTGCAACCGTCATACATATGAGTCAGTTGCCAAGTGTCCGATTGTAAATCACATAACCCCAGGGATGCTGCAGTGGCCGTGTGAAAAATGATTATAAGTCACTTTTTTCAGTTCTGTCGTAACTTGGAACGGTCACTAAATGAAATGTTGCATTTTGGACTCGGACCAAACCCTCTTAGTTGTTTTATTCCCACCATAGCTACAACTTAAAGTGAGCTTTGTAATCCTCATCTAAGTGACCTATCCTTTTTGGATGGCTACGATAATTAATACTTCTAACAATCCCATCCAATTAAAGCAGGCAATTGCATTAGTTATATAGTGGATTGCAATTTTTTTTTCTACCCATTTACTCACAGGTCACTTTTTTTAAAAAATGTGACTGTTCAAATATCCATTTCCTCGTAATCTCTCATAAACCAGATTACAGAGATTAGCAATTTCTTTAATGCAGACGTTGGCTCGCAAAACAGTGGCTGAAAATTGGCAAAGAGTAGCTTTTAAGATTTTCACAGTCCTGTAGAGAGCACACTCAACAAAATGAATACCGGTCAAAAGTTATTTATTTACCTCGCCCCGTCAGCCAACTTTTTCACCATACAATAAGATTTTAGGGATAGATTTTGATTGATTATGTGCTATCAAATTGTTTTCAGTTCCTAGCAATCACATAGATTTATTTTTTGCACGACAATTTAAAGGCAAAGCATTCACACGACACCCCTTTATAGAGATGGAGCACAATTACCACTTTCAAAAATAATTAACTTTATTGGCGCTTGCTCCACCAATTTACCCATAATGTTAAAAGCGGAATAGCTTTGATTCAAGTTGAATCTGATATCATGAGTGGCATTTTAAGATAGATATACTAAGCTTTTTTTGGTGATTTATCCTTGTGGTTCAGGCATCTTGGAAATTTTAATATCTATTTCTGCATTTATGATGCAGCATAATTGATATTATGCTGCGTCATAAATGCAGAAATAGATATTAGTTTAATAAATATTAAACTGAAGAATTTGTTTTAAATGCTGGATGCTTACATATCAAAATCAAGACTGGTGGTAATGATTTTAACAACAACAAAAAAATCATGGTTTTACGGTGGGGGGACCTGGAAGTTTGTGTCAATTTTAGGTTTTAATTTTACATGACCTGTGTTTATTTAATGCAAGGCTTCGTTACATTAAATGTATTTTATGTGTTTCCAGGTTGATTTTGGTTTGCGCTTCGCTGAGGTCCATTTGCAAATAAAATGTTTCTAATAAGATCTAGTTCTTTGTGATGTTTAAAGCAAGGAGAGAATTGTTATCGCGAGTTTTCTTAAAATGATTTTTTTACAAAACAAACACCAAGATTTCTGAAGAGTGGAGAGAGAGCAGAAAGGCTGTTGAAATGAAACAAGATAAAATACCTAGAAGAACTGTTGAAAGAGGAAACTTTTTTACTGTTCTGGGCTCCTTAGCTGCATTGATGAATTCTATAAATAAGCTCAACTAAATATTTGTGACCTTAAGCAGTGCCTAGAAGCTGTTCTGTTAGACGCAAACAAAGGATTAAAATTCTAGACTAAATATTAGATAAATGAAGATAAGTAGAAAGCCACAAATGCATTTGGGGGTTTAACCGGCTATCTCCTTCAGCCTTTGGAATATTCTTGTTTTCAGAACAGCATTTGTCTCATTTATGTTCTGTTCTTCATGAAAGATCGTTTTAAATTTAGTTTCTATTTTAGGCCTTTCTTAAGTGCAATCCAATTTCTTTTCTTCAAACTGTAGCTAAAATAGAACGAACTAAACTTACTAATTTGCTAGCAGCATTCAGTTATATTGCAAAAAAAAGATTTCTATTAGAGTTGCAAGTCCTTTAGCAATGTAAAAATCTGTGAGATTTAAGGCCAGAGTTAAGATTGTTGATGTTGTCTCACTGTCTACAACAGTGGTTCTCAACCTGTAGGTCGGGACCCCATTTGGGGTCGAGCGACCATTTCATGGGGGTCACCAAACAACGTAGTCCGCCATTTTTTCCCCCTTTTCCTTAGCTGTGCTACTCCCTTTTATTCTATTGGCTTTTGAAAGCCAATAGAATAGACTCTCTTGAATAGAGTCTAATTCTATTGGCTTTCAAAAGCCAATAGGAATTGTCCAGGCTGTCTCTGCCCTGCTGAGCCCGCCAAAAGTCCCATTCTGCAAACAGTGCTGCACCACTTGAGTAGTCCTCGACTTACGACCGGTTGAGTAGTCCTCGACTTATGACCGGTTGGGGGGGGGGTCGTGGCATTAAAAAGGTTGAGAACCACTGGTCTACAAAGCCCTGAAGCTGGAAATTCAGATTAAGAGACATGACCCACAGTTGAGAATTATCTTATAATATACAGAGTCACATAGGCTTCGTAAAAGCCATCCCGAGTCATCCTTGTGGAGAGATGATCGGCAAACAAATTTAATAAGTGCTAAAATAAATAATAATTGAGGACCGGGGGGGTGGAGGGAAAAGGGGGTGGGTCTGAAGCACTTCATCAAATCAAACCAACATTTAGGACTGCTCTTCAGGCATTTGTCAATTGGGCAGTTTAATTTTAGAGTCACTAACTTCTGAAAAGAAATTCACTTGTTATAGTGTTGCAAATCCCATTCCGTTTTCTAGATTGGTTGGTTAGATGGTGTAGATGTTGATGAACCTCTGAAGGTTAATGAATCTTAAGTAGATCCCAAGAAGCTCAGAGTGAGTATGGAGGTAGATCAATTTCTCAAACCAGATTGGGTTTACTATTGTCAGAAGTAAAGTCTTCATCCTGGTTCATCCAAGCCGGGAATAAATAAGCAACATGGCGACTGTTTTGGGAAGAAGGTTACGGTTTATTGGAGAAGCAGAAAGATGGTCCTTGCAGGAAGGAGCAGAGGAGAAGAAAGAGGAGTTGAGCACATGGGCAGTAGGTTTTTATACCCCCTCTAGCCTTGTTTGGAATAGTTTCCTGTTCCTGTGGCATGAACCTTGAGGCTATTTCTGAGTGTTTTTCTAGGCCTTGATATCTGTGGTTTAATCCTATTATCATATCCTGCTTCCCAGGTGATGGGGCTAATGACTCTTAGAGTTTGGGTGGGGCATGCAGATGTTCTCTTTGTCTTCTTGAGTGCTCTGGCTTCAACTTTCTGATGGTTTTACATCTGCATTTGTATGGGGCTAGCTCTTGCTTGGGGCAGAGAGATAGATTTGGGGCCAGGTTTGGTTTTAAAAAGTCCTTTTGAGGAAAATATATATTTTTCTGCCCTTTTAATATTTCCTTCTCTGGGCTAACTTCCCTCACTATTGATCTGTTGCTTGAGTTGTGGAATAACTCTGCCTCCAGGGTCTTATGTCCTCGGTATTCGATATCGGATCTTGTCATGCAGTGTGATGTTGAGGATCATCAAGCAGGAGGGCAGGTGACTTGTGTGATTGTGGTGGGATAAAACTGGTTGGACTGTTGAAGGAAAAATCTTCATCAGGGTCCGGTCCAAGCTGGGAATAAATAAAATGGAGGACTGCTTTGGAAAGAAAGTTGTTTATTGAAGAGGGGAGCCAGACAGAAAGATGGCTCTGGAAGAAAAGAGAGAGCACATGTAATAGGGAGTGGGTTTTTAATACCCTCTTGGGCTTTTGTTTGGAGTTGTTTCCTGTTCCTTTTGAGGCTTTGTATTTCCTGTGTCATGTACTTTGACCTGAGTCTGAGTGTGCCCCTTTGGCATCTGTGGGTTAATCCTATTATGTCCTGTCTTAGAGTTTGGGTGGGGTATGTAGGTTTTAAGGGCCTTTGTCTTCCTGATCTCTTCAGCTTCTAGCTGGAGGGCTCCAACCTTCCTGAATGGATTATTACATCTGCGTTTCTAAAAGCTGGTTTCTGCTGAGTTGCAGAAGGTTGTAAAAGGGGGACATTAAAACGGTCATAAATATGAGTCAGCTGCCAAGCATCTGAATGTAAAACAGGTGACTGTGGGGATACCTCAACGGTCGCAAGTCTGAAAAATCGTCCTAAGTCCCTTTTTCCGCTGCCGTTGTAACTTTGAACGGTCACTAAACGAACTGTGGTAAGCTATAATTCACATTTGTCATGAGAACCTCTTTCAGGTGCTCTAGGCAATCCTGGGACGTCGGGCTTTCCGACAAGGTCAACGTGTGTATTTGCAGTTGTGCATTTGCAATTCGCACAAAAGCCCTTGCCTCTCCTAGGGATTGCACTCTTCCCTAGTCTCCTGTTCTTCAGTTGTTGCTTTGTTTTTCTTTCCCCTTTACTCTAGTGAAGTTGTGTACTTGTTTCCTGAGGGTGACACACTCCGTTCCTTGGTTCCTGCCCACAGAATGCGATTCCCGATTTCATCGTATCCGTGCTCTTTTTCCCTCGCAGCTGCTTCTGTCCAACAGGGAAGAAATTAACCATGGGAAAGGAAGGGCATCGCCACAAATAAATAAATGGAGAGTTAGTTTTCATGCAGTCCATGGAAAACAATATGATAGTGTGGGATGTCAGCCCCCCCCCCAGAAGGAAATATTAAAAGGGCAGAAAAATATATTTCCTCAAAGGATCTTAAAGAGGCAGAAAAGCATGCCTTTTCTTAATAGCCCCAGGTCTCCCTCCCCCCAAGCAGAAACCAGCTCTGCACAAATGCAGATGTAAATAATCCAGGAAGGTTAGAAGCCTCCAGCTAGAACATTAAGAAGACAAAGACACCTCAAATCTACATACCCCACTCAAACTCTAAGACAGGACGTAATAGGATTAACTCACAGATGCCAAAGGGACACAGGTCAGAATACATGATACAGGAAATACAAAGCCTCAAACAGGAACAGGAAACAACCCCAAACAAAAGGCTCCAGAGCAGTGGTTCTCAACCTTTTCATACGGCGACCCCCGGCCACACGGACGTGGCGCGCATGCGCGGGGGGCGGCCCCCATGCGCGGCGCGCATGCGCGGCACGGTCCCCTAAGGGGGAAAAATGGCGGATCGCATTGTTTGGCGACCCCCGTAAAATGGTCGTTCGACCCCAAATGGGGTCGCGACCCATAGGTTGAGAACCGCTGCTCCAGAGGGTATAAAAACCCACTCCCTGCATGTGCTCACTCTCTTTTCTGCCAGAGCTATCTTTCTGTCTGGCTCTCCTCTTCAACCAACTGCAATCTTCTTTCTAAAGCAGTCTCCATTTTGTTTATCCCTGGCTTGGACCGGACCCTGATGAAGACTTTTCCTTCAGCAATAGCAAATCTGTTGCAGAGATGGAGGGTCGTCCGTGCAAATGGGCCGGCTTCGTCCAAAGAGGAGGTCAAGCACTTACCTAGAGTAGGAAGGAGAAAAAGAAATTCAAAGGAGTCTGAAAGTTATTTTTAGGCGAAACGAAGGATGCAAACGGTCCTCTACTTAAAACAGTTGATTTCGTTCCATTCAAAGTGACACAGCACGGGAAAAAAAGGAATTTATGACGTTTTTCACTGATAGCCCTTGCAGCATCCCCCAGGGTCACGTGATCAAAATTCGGAGGCATGTACTTACGATGGTTGCAGTGTCCTGAAATTGGACAGAAGTTCACACGACCGTCCTTGCATTCAGTTTCAGATTCCCTGGCTCAGTCTGTGATCCAGCATCTCAGATGGATCATGCAGAAGGATCTCCTGGGGCAAGATGTTTTCCTGATTGGACCTCCGGGACCGCTTCGGCGTTCGATTGCCATGCAATACCTGGTAAGGTTTGGGCCGTGGAGGGATTCAAATAGGGGAACAACCAGTTCTCTGCGTGGATGCCGCTTCCGGACGTCCGTTCTATCTACCTTATCCATCCATCCATCCATCCATCCATCCATCCATCCATCCATCCATCCAGTGGTGGGATTCAAACAGGGGAACAACCGGTTTTCTGTGTGGATGCTGCTTCCGGAAGTCCATTCTGGGCCTGCTGGGCAACAAAACATTAGCTACCGGTTCTGCCGAAGCGTTGAGGACCAGCTGAATCCCACCACCGGTTTTGGGGAGATTTTCATCAGAGTTTCTCACCCTTTGGCAACTTTGAGATGTCTGGACTTCAACTCCCAGAATTCCCCAGTCAGCTATTCCCCCCCCCCCCCAAAAAAAAATCCAAGAGAAGCTTCTTGCATGAGGTTAATTTTGCATGCAGGAAATTAATGTTGATGGCAATTGTCAATCATCCAGATCTTGGTTGTCCCAAAGGTGTTTTATCAGGAAGCAACCTGACTTTTTTGGTAATAATAGTAGTAGTAGTAGTAGTAGTAGTAGTAATAATAATAATAATAATAATAATAATAATAATAATAATAATAATAATAATAATCTGTAATACCATCAAACATCCACATCTGCCTATCCCAGATTCTGGGTAAGGACTCGATAGGTAGACAAAATGCCAAATCCAGTCTGAACATCTGGCTGACTGTGCGATGATCAATAATAATAATAATAATAATAATAATAATAATAATAATAATAATAATAATAATAATGTTGGAAGGGATCTTGGAGGTCATCTAGTCCAACCCCCCTGCTCAGGCAGGAAACCCTATACCATTTCGGACAAATGGCTGTCCAGTCTCTTCTTAAAAACCTCCAGTAATTGAATTTAGCTGGTTTTCTTTTTGAGTAAACAGGCAAGAAATGAGGAAAAAAAAGCCCTGGTAATAATAGTAATAATAAAGTTGGGAGGGACCTTGGAGGTCATCTAGTCCAACCCCCTGCTCAGGCAGGAAACCCTATACCATTTCAGACAAATGGCTGTCCAGTCTCTCCTTAAAGACTTCCAATGTTGGAGCATTCACCGCTTCTGGAGGCAGGTGGTTCCACTGGTTAATTGTTCTAAATGTCAGGAAGTTTCTTTTTAGTTCCTGGTTGGTTTTCCGCTTGATTAATATCCATCCGTTGATTCTTGTTCTGCCTTCAGGGGAATAGGTTGACCCCCTTTTTTTCTGTAAAAGCCCCCCCCCCGAAATATTGGAACCCTGGCTTTCATGTCACCCCTAGTCCTTCTTTTCGTGAAACTAGACGCACTCAATTCCTGCAACCGTTTCTTCAGCCTTAGATTTCCTTCCAATTCGGTGGCGGTTTGGGCTTGTGCTGCGTGGAATAATTTGGGGTTAAATTCTGCAGCTTATAAATATTTGCCTTGTCCAATAAAATCCCACTTTCTGTAGGAACTGACCAAAAGAGAAGTGGAATATATGGCCCTTTCCAGAGACACGACCGAAACCGATCTCAAACAACGACGGGAGATCCGAGCCGGCACTGCCTTCTACATTGATCAAGTGAGTAGCAAAACTCGCTTTCGCCCTTCTGGATTTATTTGCTACAAACCCAAAGGGTTCACCTGTAGAAACTGACCGGTCCACCTGTCGGATTTCACCGTTGGGAGAACAGCTGTATCTCTTGGACGTTTTAGAGGCAACAGGGCTTGAAATCTGTGACAAGAGCCATGAGCAAATCCTGTTTTAAACTCTGTTGCCTTATTCTGAATCAGCGGAGCACAACCTTAGCTAGATAAATCAGGTGTGTGTGTATGTTTCAACTCGATGGGAAACGGTTTTGTACGTCGCAAATGTTTTGAAAGGAAAATGGTAGCTTTTTAGTTGCGCAAGTTTCGCTTTGGGGGGGGGGGTTTCCAAGGCAGGAACGTCCAGTAAGGATCCGTGTTTCATTTTTGCTTTCTTAATTTGGCTTCCCCCCCCCCCTGCAAATTCCTTCTGCTCTAATTTTAATATGCCTTCCCCACTTTAACAGGTCGTTCTCATCTTAACAATCGTTCATTTAGTGACCGTTCAGAGTTTCAGGCGAAAGCAATAGCAGATTGCTCCGTCCCATATTTGGGTAGACCAGGTGCTCTGTTAGACGGCTTTCACCAGAAAACACCTAATCTCTCCTCCCTGGTACAGCTGACAAAAGCAAAGAGGACCCGTGGCCTAGAGGTTAATCCAGCTCCAGCTGCCTAACGTGCAACCGGCCCGGGTTCGAATCTCAGAAGGGTATGGTTAGCTGATGAGAGCTAAATAGCTCGAAATAGCTATACTAATCTCCCTTTAATTCTTTGTGGGCAATATCTGAATTTAACACACACACACACACATATGGGTTCATGTATATTCAAGCCATTAATATAGGCGTTTGCTACTGCTGTTTATGCAATTCTAAGATTCAGTTCTAAGTCTGATTGTTGGACTAAGAGAAGACTTAACTCCTTCCTATATCCATCTTGCCCCCATCCTTCCCATCTTGAATAGGAATAGAATAGAATAGAATAGAATAGAATAGAATAGAATAGAATAGAATAGAATAGAATAGAATAGAATAGAATAGAATAAATATTGGAATATAGAATAGAATAGAATAGAATAGAATAGAATAAATATTGGAATATAGAATAGAATAGAATAAATATTGGAATATAGAATAGAATAGAATAGAATAGAATAAATATTGGAATATAGAATAGAATAGAATAGAATAGAATAAATATTGGAATATAGAATAGAATAGAATAGAATAGAATAGAATAGAATAAATATTGGAATATAGAATAGAATAGAATAGAATAGAATAGAATAAATATTGGAATATAGAATAGAATAGAATAAATATTGGAATATAGAATAGAATAGAATAGAATAGAATAAATATTGGAATATAGAATAGAATAGAATAGAATAGAATAGAATAAATATTGGAATATAGAATAGAATAGAATAAATATTGGAATATAGAATAGTATAGAATAGAATAGAATAGAATAGAATAAATATTGGAATATAGAATAGAATAGAATAGAATAAATATTGGAATATAGAATAGAATAGAATAGAATAGAATAGAATAGAATAGAATAGAATAGAATAGGAATAGAATAACAACATTGGAAGGGATCTTGGGGGTCTTCTAGTCCAACCCCCTTTTCAGGCAAGAAACCCTACACCAATTCAGACAAATGGCTGTCCAATCTCTTCTTAAAAACTTCCAGTGTTGGAGCATTTACTGCTTCTGGAGGCAGGTTGTTCCACTGGTTAATTGTTCTAACTGTCAAGAAGTTTCTCCTTAGTTCCAGGTTGCTTCTCTCCTTGATTAGTTTCCATCCATTGCTTCTTGTCCTGCCTTCAGGCGCTTTGGAGAAGAGCTTGACTCCCTCTTCTTTGGGGCTGCCCCTGATTATTATTAATTTTTCATCAATTTTAGCATGACCATTTATTGTTTTAGCGTTGCCGATTGTGAGTGAACGAAGAATTCCTCTGTTCTCGATGGGGTGGGGGCAAGCTGAATAAGATCCAGAGGTCTTCTCTGCCAAGTCCTTTTGTGAACTATCCCCGGCCGTTCCTCTCCCCCGCTGCTGATTTTTGTTTCGATTCCTAAGTGCGCGGTCCGGGCCGCTACGGAAGGTCGGATCCTGGTTCTGGAAGGCCTGGAGAAGGCGGAGCGGAACGTTCTGCCCGTCTTGAACAACTTGCTGGAGAACCGGGAAATGCAGCTGGAGGACGGGCGGTTCCTGATGTCGGCCGAGCGTTACGATAAACTGCTGAAGGTAAGCAGACGCCTCGGAGCTCCTTCAGAATTGACAGCCGAGTAGGCTGCACGGACTTAATGCATCTCCATGAACGCTCGCCAAGGAATGCGTAACCTTTCCAAAAGTTTATTTTACAGGTTGTCACGTAGCCAGGACTTGCAGCTGGGTTGCTTTTCACCCCAGTGGCCTCTCCTTTCCTTCTGTGTCCCTGAACGCTAGCGCCGTGTGCACCCCCGGGGTGCGTTGATGTTGACCGGTAAAGGAGAATATTTGTAGCTAAGGGTTGAAAGGAAGAGTCCTTGGGGGCTCTCTCGGAGCTTGGATGTTTTCTTGCAGGCGTTTCGTGACCCAAGTAGGGAACATCTTCAGGGCTGGAAGGGAGTGGGGTTTAAGGAAGAGGAGGAAGAGAAGAAGAAAGGGAGGAGGAGGAGGAGAAGAAGAAAGGGAGGAGGAGGAGGAGGAAGACTATGGGATCCTTGATGCTCTCTGAGCTTGCTTGTTTTCTTACGGACGTTTCATTAGCCAAACTAGGTAACATCATCAGTGCTGGAAGGGAGTGGGTTTGTGGAAAGGAGGAGGAGGAGGAGGAGGAGGAGGAGGAGGACTGTGGGATCCTTGATGCTCTCTGTGCTGGGTGGTTTTCTTGCAGGCGTTTCATGACCCAAATAGGTAACAACATCAGTGCTAGAGGTGCATGGGGTTTAAGGAGGAGGAGAAGGGAACTATGGAGTCCTTGGTGCTCTCTGAACTGGGTGGTTTTCTTGCAGACGTTTCATAACCCAACTAGGTAACATCATCAGTGCTAGAAGGGAGAAGGAAGAGGAGTGTGGGGTCCTCAGTGCTCTCTGAGCTTGGTTGTTTTTTGCAGATGTTTCAACACCCAACTGAGTAACAGCATCAGTATTACAAGGGCATGGGGTTTCTGGAGAAGGAGAAAGGGAGGAGGAGGGGGGGAGTCTTATAGAGTCCTTGGTGCTCTCTGAGCTTGTTTGTTTTCTTGCAGACCTTTCATTACGCAAACTCAGTAACGTCATCATGCCTTAATTGAATTCTCTATCCCTGAAGCCATTGCTGAATTCTAATTCTAATAATAATAATAATAATAATTTAAAAACAGTTTTTATTTTATTTACTTGGTGTTTAGGAGCACGACAAAGAAGAGCTGGACTCTTGGAGGATTGTTAGAGTCAGTGAGAACTTCCGGGTGATTGCCTTGGGGCTTCCAGTACCCCGATATGTGGGCAACCCACTAGACCCACCACTTCGATCGAGGTTTCAGGCCAGAGATGTTTATTATCTACCCTTCAAGGTAAGCAAACGTTGCACATTTTAATCTTAAAAAGCTGGACTGAAACCTAGTGCACATATTCCTTCGTGGCCAACCCATTAATTAATTAAAAAAAGAAAGCTGTACTCCAGATTAAAAGCAATTTCATTTTTTTCTGAAGCTCAGCACTTTGGTATATAGAAGACCGACGGTATATAAAGCGTTTCTGAGCCAGCAATAAAACCAGATCCAACCTGTTAAAAACCTAGATGATCATATCCTGGGTTATATCCTCGCACAAGAAGATTCCTGCAATGATTTGTGATGCTTTTTTTGTTTCAGGACCACCTTTCCCAGCTGTACTTTATTGGAAAGAACGTGTCAACAGAAAGGTAAATAGGCACATTAAATCTCTGCAGAAGGGTTGAAACGCCTCTTTCAAGTTGCCTCGGAGTTTAAATATTTGTAATAGGATGACAAACTCTGTAATAAACCAAACCTCAAACCTTGAACCGGGCTGAGCCGAAATTCTGATTGCGTGAGACTCTGATTCGTATTGCAAGTTGGTTCACTCTGACTTAAATCGTGCGGGCTTTTTCGAAAACGGGGGTAAATTAAATCACGGTTCCCTGAATTCAGATACAGAGGAAAGAATTCTGTGGAGGTTCTCCATCACGCAGGTCCTGGTTGTCCCAGAGATGCTGTTTTTTTTTCAGGAGGCAACTGGACTTTTTGGTTTTGCTTTGAAGACGTTTCGCTTCTCATCCCAGAAGCTTCTTCAGCTCCGGCTGGATGGTGGGGAACGGGAGGGTTTATACTCAGGATCCAAAAAGATCTGGACAAACTTGAACAATGGGCCCTATCCAAAAAAATTCGTTTCAACGTGGAGAAAAGCAAAGTCTTACATTTAGGCAGGAAAAACCAAAGAAACAAATACAGATTGGGCGAGACCTGGTTCAAAAACAGCGACTGTGAGAGGGACCTTGGAGTCCTAGTGGACGATCACTTGACCATGAGCCAGCTGTGTGCAGCAGCAACCAGAAAAGCTAATACAATCTTGGGTTGTATAAACAGAGGCATAGAATCAAGATCACGCAAGGTATTAGTACCGCTTTATAAAACCCTAGTAAGACCACAGCTGGAATATTGCAGTCAATTTTGGTCACCATATCACAAAAAAGATGTTGAGAGTTTGGAAAAAATTCAGAGAAGAGCAACTAAGATGATCCAAGGCCTGGAGGCTAAAACATACGAAGAACGGCTGCAGGATTTGGGTTTGGCTAGTCTAGAGAAAAGAAGAAATAGGGGAGACATGATAGCAGCGTTCCAGTATCTGAGGGGCTGCCACAAGGAAGAGGGGGGTCAGCTTGTTCATCAAAGCAACAGAGGGAAGGACGAGAAACAATGGTTGGAAAACTGATCAAAGAGAGAAGCAACCTGGAATTAAGGAGAAACTTCCTGATAGTGAGGACAATCAACCAGTGGAACAGCTTGCCACCAGAAATCGTGGGCGCTGAATCACTGGAGATTTTTAAGAAGAGACTAGACAGTCACCTGTCTGAGATGGTATAGGTTCTCCTGCTTGAGCAGGGGGTTGGACTAGAAGACCTCCAAGGTCCCTTCCAACTCTATTCCATTCCATTCTATTCTACTCTATTCTATTATTCCATTCCATATTTTCTATTCTATTCCATTCCATTCCATTCCATATTTTCTATTCTATTCCATTCCATTCTTCTACTCCATTCCATTCCATATTTTCTATTCTATTCTATTCCATTCCATTCTTCTATTCCATTTCATTCCATATTTTCTATTCTATTCTATTCCATTCCATTCTTCTATTCCATTCCATTCCATATTTTCTATTCTATTCCATTCCATTCCATTCTATTCTTCCATTCCATTCCATTCCATATTTTCTATTCTGTTCTATTCCATATTTTCTATTCTATTCTATTCTGTTCTATTCTATTCCATTCCATTCCATTCTTCTACTCCATTCCATTCCATATTTTCTGTTCTATTCCATTCCATTCCATTCCATTCCATTCCATTCCATTCTATTCTATTCTTCTATTCCATTCCATTCCATTCCATATTTTCTATTCTGTTCTGTTCTATTCTATTCCATTCCATATTTTCTATTCTATTCTATTTATTCAGGGGTGGTGTCTTCTGCTCTCTTCCCCTTAGCCCATCTTCCAATAACCAACTTTTAATTCAGATTAATATGCTGTACATAAAAGTATCTATGGAGACTCTCAGTTACTTTTTGCTACCACTGCAAAAAAAAAAAAGGGGGGGGACATAAGATTGGGCGCAACTCACTTACTGCATTGCTTAGCGATGGAAAAGTTGGGCTCCATTGTGGGCCGTAAGCAGAGGACTACTTTGCCTTCCTTTGAAATTATTGCAAGTGTGCCAAGTCTTCCAGGCAAGTTAATACTGATTTTTTTTTTTTTATTTCTAGAATCTCGCAGATGTTGTCCTTTGCCACGACTCTCTGCACCCAAGAATCGTCTTCGCTGGGCCTGCCCGATTTCCCTCTAGACAGTTTGTCCTCTGCTGTGCAGATTCTGGTAGGTCTGTGCCCATTATAAGGGGGTCCTCGCTTTACAACCGATCATTCAGCCACCGTTCAAAGTTACAACGGCACTGGGAAAAAAGGGGATTTATGACCGTCTTCCACCGCAGTCGTTAAGTCAGCTTAACATTGGCTTTGCTTGTCAGAAAGTCACCAAAGGGGGATCACGTGATCCCCCGGGACGCTGCAACCGTCATAAGTACATGCCAGTTGCCAAGCCTTTGGATTTGGACCCCCCTGAACCATGGCGGGTGCTGCTGCAACGGTCATAAGGGTGAAAAACGGTCAGAAGTCCCTATTTTTCAGTGCCGTTGTAACTTTGAACGACAAACTGTTGTAAGTCAAGAACTTCACCTGTATTCGGATTTATCTGGATGCTTTGGTTCTTAGAATCTGGAGCCCTCCTTAAAAATCTGTTTTGTGACTCAGAAAGAAGAAAAAAAAAAGAGAAGGCAAAAGAAAAATAAAAAGAGAGAAGAGAAAAAAAAAGACAGATAAGGAAAAGAACAAAAAAGAAAAAAAAGAGAGAGAACAGTAATGACTCAGTGAAAGTCAAAGTATTAAACAAAACTAAAAAGGAAAAAACAAAAAAAAGAGAAAAAAGATAAGAAGAAAAAAAAAGAAGAAAACATCACGAAAAACAAAACCTCTTTTCTTCCTTCTGATCTGTCTGGGAATCTTCATTCACTGTTTCTGTAATACCTGTTTGTTTATTTATTTATTGCAAAAAAAAAAAAAAACTACTTCCGCCACCTGCCTAGTAGATATATATTTTAGGCTTCATTGATTCTTTTTATTTTATTTTGTTTTGTTTTAATGGAACGTGTCTAAATATTCAGCAGACTTTTGATTTTGCAGGCCGTTTGTTGGCCATTAAAGTTAACTCTCCAGTGGTGGAAGTGGAGTCATTTTCTTTGATTTACATCATTGGCATAGAGCAGGGGGGCTTCAAACTTGGCCCTTTGATGACTTGTGGACTTCAACTCCCAGAATTCCTCAGCCAGCATGAGGGAACTATGAGCCTTTGATGACTTGTGACTTCAACTCCTAGAATTCCTCAGCCAGCGTGCCTGGCTGAGGAATTCTGGGAGTTGAAGTTCACAAGCAGGAGTCTTCAAACTTGGCCCTTTTATGACTTGTGGACTTCAACTCCCAGAATGCCTCAGCCAGCGTGAGGGAACTATGATCCCTTTATGACTTGTGGATTTCAACTCCCAGAATTCCTCAGCCAGCGTGAGGGAACTATGACCCTTTATGACTTGTGGACTTCCAGAATTCCTCAGCCAGCGTGCCTGGCTGAGGAATTCTGGAGTTGAAGTCCACAAGCAGGGGGGTCTTCAACTTGGCCCTTTTGTGACTGTGACTTCAACTCCAATTCCTCAGCCAGCGTGCCTGGCTGAGGAATTCTGGGAGTTGAAGTCCACAAGTCATAAAAGGGCCAAGTTTGAAGACCCCTGTCTTAAATCTAACAAACAAAATGGAGGCTGGCTGAGGAATTCTGGGAGTTGAAGTCCACAAGTCATCAAAGGGCCAAGTAAAATCTACATATTTAGATTTCTGCCTCTTTATATTGAGCTACACATCTATCCCGGCTGGGTGTGATGTAGCCTTGAACAAGTGCGACTTGAAAGGGAAGGAGAAAGGAAGGAGAGAAGAAACACACAAACACCCACTCATTCTTTCCCAATCTCTTAGAGATGTTTCTCCTTCCAGCTGCCAGAAGAGACTTGGAATCTCAATAGATAAGCTTCACAAGTTTAACCTTGGAAGTTTGCAAATATTTAGCCAAAGGACTCGGATTAGTTCTCCTCCCAGGTACATCGGCCTGAGATTTTTATGTTTTTTGCTTCTTTGTCTTCCCGTAGAATTCCTTTCCTATGATGTCAGTGCAACATATCCTCAACTGGCTTTATCCGTATCATGTTTTGCTAGGAAAAGAAGGCCAGACAGCCGTTGAAGACACCCTGAAAGTGAGTTTTTTTACTAAATTGCTGCATCAACCGAATGAAAAAAAAAAGGGCGCTGGGAAAACTTAATTCAGCCCGGAGAGAACATCCCTTCCTTGGCTTGATCTCTTGTAGAAAATTTTTAATATGTTAGAATATAGCAGCCCCTGGATTAGAACTTCCAGACTTTTCTGGAACAGAAACATGGGGTATAGGGTCTCTTGCTCGACCATGTTATTCTAGAATATGTTTTTTTTGGTTTTTTTTGGTTTTTACATTCTAGAAACTGAAATATGTTAGAACAGTGGTTCTCAACCTTTCTAATGCCGCGACCCCATAATACAGTTCCCCATGTTGTGGTGACCCCCAATCACTTATACATCACCGGGTGCCAGGGGCGTGGCCAAAGAAAAGGGGGAAAAAATGGCGGACAGCCTTGTTTGGCGACCCCCATGAAATGGTCATTCGACCCCAAATGGGGTCCCGACCCACAGGTTGAGAACCACTGTGTTAGAATATAGCAGCCCCAGGGTTAGAACTCCAGACTTTTCTGCAACAGAAACATGGGGTACAGGGTCTCTTGCTTGGTTTTTACATTCTAGAAACTGAAATATTCTAAGAGCTTTTTTTATTCTGGAAATACGTTATTGGGGTTTTGCCAAATACCCATTCCAATGGTCGTCGTTTTTTTTTTTTTTTTTATTCCTGTGGCTTTTGCAGTTTTTGTTTTCATGGGTAAAAGAGGCAAAAAAATGACGAAAGCTGCGCTTTAAAATTACCCTCTCGTCTTTTCTTCATCGAATTCTGTTCAACTTCTTGGAAGATAATAATGACGATATGTAGCACTTTCTTTGAAGGACTTTGTCTTCACGTAATGGACTAATTGGATAACTGAATAAAATATACATGTTAATGGTGCTGTTGTCTAAAGCAGGAGCCAGAATTGGCTTTAGAATGCCTTAGCAACGAAGCTAGAAACCCAATTTGATTTTGCTAAAATACAGGTAGTCCTCAACTTATGATCCCAATTGTTCGGTGGCTAAGCAAGACTAAGTGAGTTTTACCCCATTTTATGACCGTTCTTGCCACAGTTGTTAGGGAGATGGGAGGGAGGGAGGGAGGGAGGGGGAAATGGGAGGGAGGGAGGGAGGGAAGGAAGGAAGGAAGGAAGGAGGAAGATGGGGGAAGGAAGGGAGGAAGGACAGGAAAGGAGGGAGGGAGAGAGGGAGAAAGATGGGAGGGAAGGAAGAAAGGAAGGAAAAGGGAGGGAGGGAAGGAAGGAGGGGAGGAGGAAGATGGGAGGGAGGGAGGGAGAAAGATCAGAGGGAAGGAAGAAAGGAAGGGGGGGAGAGAGGGAGGGAAGGAGGAAGATGGGAAGGAGGGAGGAAGGGAAGAAGGAATGAAAGGGAAGTAAGGAGGGAGAAAGATGGGAGGGAAGGAAGAAAGGGAGGGAGGGAGGGAAGGAAGGAGGGTAGGAGGAAGATGGGAGGGAAGGAAGAGGGAGGGAGGGAGAAAGATCAGAGGGAAGGAAGGGAGAGGGAAAGAAAAAAGGAAGGGAAAGGGAGGGAGGGAAGGAAGGAGGGAAGGAGAAAGATGAGAGAGAAGGAAGAGGGAGAGAGGGAAGGAGGAAGATGGGAAGGAAGGGAGGGAAGAGGGAAGGAAGGAAGATGGGAGGGAAGGAAAACAGGAAGAGGGAGGGAGAGAGGGAAGGAGGAAGGGAGGGAAGGAGGAAAGGAAGGAGGGAAGGAAGGAAGATGGGAGGGAAGGAAGAAAGGAAGGGAAAGGGAGGGAGGGAGGGAAGGAAGGAGGGTAGGAGGAAGATGGGAGGGAAGGAAGAGGGAGGGAGGGAGAAAGATCAGAGGGAAGGAAGGGAGAGGGAAAGAAAAAAGGAAGGGAAAGGGAGAGAGGGAAGGAAGGAGGGAAGGAGAAAGATGAGAGAGAAGGAAGAGGGAGAGAGGGAAGGAGGAAGATGGAAAAGAAGGGAGGGAAGAGGGAAGGAAGGAGGGAGGGAGGAAGATGGGAGGGAAGGAAGACAGGAAGAGGGAGAGAGGGAAGGAGGAAGGGAGGGAAGAAGGAAAGGAAGGAGGGAAGGAAGGAAGAAGGAAGATGGGAGGGAAGGAAGAAAGGAAGGGGAGAGAGGATGGGAGGAAAGGAGGAAGATGGGAAGGAGGGAGGGAGGGAGGAAGATGGGAGGGAAGGAAGACAGGAAGAAGGAGAGAGAGGAGGAAGATGGGAAGGAGGGAGGAAGGAAGGAAGGAGAGAGGGAGGGAGGGAGGGAGATGTGCAATAGGCCTCCCCCCAGCCATTAAAAGGAAGTTTCACTCTAATATAATTTCATTGTAAATCCTCCTAAGTTGTTTATTTGAAATCCATCTCCTTTGGCAATAATAGATGAAAATTACTTAAGAAAATGACTGAAGAGCTGCAGCCAAGACTTCCCAGAGCCTCCTAGCGCCCTCACGCTGCCGTCTCCGCTCCTTTCCTCTTAAAAGACAAACTTTATCATCTTAAATGTACCAAGTCCCTCCTCGTATATCTCACGAGGCCCGTTTCCAAGCTGAGCATTTTATTTGGGCCTGCTCAGTTCTTACGCCACGGTTTCTTTGCTTTTCTTCAAAAGAGCTCATTCGCGCGTAATCAGACATGTATCTCAGGTTCTGGGGCGGTGGGGGGGGGGGAAATACCATCTCACTTTACTCGTAATCGTTGCTTTACACGTCACAAAAAGAAAAATGCAAGGAAAAAAATAACATAAAGGGTCTGTCTTCCTTAGCGATTTGAACTCCAGGATTCCAGGACATTTTCTGTCCCTACGAACGTTATAAGCGTGACGAAGAGGGAGGGCGACCAGAGCTTGCAGGCTGACGTGACCATCGCGATAGCTGGAGAAGCTGTGACGTTCCAGGTATTGACTTAAACATGGATTTCATAAGAAAAAAGGATAGGCTTATTTTTTGCCTTTCCTTGCATCTAATTCCTTCCTTTCCTTCCTCCCTCCCTTCTCCCTCTATCCTTTCCATTTCCTCCTTCCTTCCTTCCTTCCTTCCTTCCTTCCTTCCTTCCTTCCTTCCTTCCTTCCTTCCTTCCTTCCATCCCCTCCCTCCTCCTTCCTTCCCTCCCATTGCCTTCCTCTCTTCCCTTCCTTCCTCCCTCCCTTCCTTCTCGTCCTTTCCATTTCCTCCTTCCTTCCATCTCCTTCCTCCCTCCCCCCTTCCTTCCATCCCCTCCCTCCCACCTTCCCTCCCATTGCCTCCCTCTCTTCCATCTCCTTCCTCCCTCCCTTCCTTCTCCCTCTGTCCTTTCCATTTCCTCCTTCCTTCCTTCCTTCCTTCCTTCCTTCCTTCCTTCCTTCCATTCATCGCCTCTCTCCCTTTCTTCCTTCCATCTCCTCCCTCCCTCCCTTCCTCTCTCCCTTCCATCCCTTCCCTCCCTCCTTCCTTTCCTCCCATTGCCTCCCTCCCTTCCATCTCCTTTCTCCCTCCCTCCCTCCCTTCCTCCCATCTCCTCCCTCACTCCCTCCTTCCCTCCCATTGCCTCCCTCCCTTCCATCTCCTCCCTCCCTCCCTAAATAAATAAATTGACAAATAAATTAGTTAAATAAAGATTAGGCACTCTTTGTCAGAGCCCGGCTATCGCCGCCAGTTTAGTTGAGTGGCAGAGGAGCCAAAACGGGACGGCCACTTCCCTTCATGAGCCAGGCGTCCAAAGGCCGGCTCCATGGCCAGGTCTCCCCGAGCGTTCGGCATCAACGTTCGTGGCCTAAGAGATGCCGGGCGGGCCTCTCCCCCCCCCACCCACCGCATCCCGCCTCACGGTGCCAATCACGACCTCTCTTTGCAGGTCCCTGCTGGGGCTCAGCCCCCTGGCCCGAGTCCGGAGACCCAAGGCTTCGTCCGAACGTTCAGCCACGAACGGCTGCTGGCCGAGATGATGCAGTCTCACATGGTTAAAGATGTCTGCTTGATCGGGCAGAAAGTAAGCGCCCTAAAACACCTCGCCCGTCCTCGACGGAGAAGCCTTTGCCGCTTCTCCGATTGAAGCGCTTCTCTGCGCGACCGTGTCGAACCCTTTTCTCTCCCTTCTCTCCGCGCAGGGTTGCGGCAAAACGGTTGTGGCTAAAGCCTTTGCGGCCCTGTTAGGATATCACATAGAACCCATCATGCTGTATCAGGTAAATTCTATACTTGGCGAATTGTATCACGCTTCTCCGGCCTCAGCCACTTATAATAATAATGATGATAACATATCGGAGCGTGCACAGTCTTTTTTATATATATATAAATATTAGTAAATGCTCCAACACTGGAAGTTTTTAAGAAGAGACTGGACAGCCATTTGTCCGAAATGGTGTAGGGTTTCCTGCCCGAGCAGGGGGTTGGACTAGATGACCTCCAAGGTCCCTTCCAACTTTACTACTACTATAAGAATAGGGGATTGGGAATGGATTAAGGATAGGTACAATGATGGGGTTACCCCCAACAAAAATTCCACGCTTCGCAAGCAAATTACCATCCGGGTATAAATGTTGAATAAAGATCACTTATATAATACTAAACAGTTATAATAAACTGGGTTAACAATAATTATAAAAATAAAGGATAGTAAATAAATATTATTCATTTTGCTAAATAAGGATAATTAATGAAATACTGATTAATTATAATCACTAATGCTTAAAATCACAGTCATCCAATTTAATTTCAGAGTCTTTTCTTGTTCTATCACATTGCCAATCATTGATAAAAATTTTCCCATGTTTTAAAATAGATAGAGCCTTCTTTTTCTTTGATCTCTAAAGTTAATCTATCCATTTCTGTGCATTCTAAGATTTTAGTAATTATAGTCTGGTCAGGTGGTAAATCTTCATTTTTCCAAAGTTGGGCAAATACTATTCTCGCCGCTGTCAATACGTGCAATATTAAATATTCATTCTCTTTCCCATAATTGATTCCTAATTGAGCGTGCACAGTCTTATTGCACTGAGATAATCCAGGAATAAACACAGTAAACAGTGGTTTATATTTATATTAAATGGCGGTTTATCTTACACTGTCTACAATGTCATACACCAGGAACAATATATCCGTACACGTGCTAATACAGCAGGATCCAACAAGCCACAATTACAGCAGGAAATGGAAGAGCGAAAACACATCCCTTTATACAAAAGCTCTTCAAAGGACACAGACCCTGCTGAGTCATTCTCATCGTTACATTACAGCTTACATTACATAAGCTGGTTAGCTGTGAATGGTTATAAGTCGAGGAGCACCTGTATACTCTGCTGAGGTGACTATTCATAGGTCAATCGTTTGACATCAACACAGGAAAAAATGTCTAGCTGCGCTAGATTTCTCTAGAAACCTAGAACATCTCTAAGAAATATTTCCAGGCATTGTGTTATCCGAAGATCGATACCTGGCTGAAATAGTGAAGACTCTTTTTCTAAGTGTTTGAGCCCACGATTTGTTTAAAGAATTCCGCATTGGCAGCTAAATCTAGATGGCTCTGGAGATTCTCCATCGTCCCGGTTCTGGTTGTCCCAGAGGTGCTTTTTTCATGAGGCAACTGGACTTCCTTTGTTCTTCCTTGAAGGTGTTTCGCTTCTCATCCAAGAAGCTTCTTCAGTTCTGACAGGAATGGTGGAGGACAGAAGACTCTGTATTCCTTGCAGTCATCTGCTCATTAGTACTCTTTCTGAGAGTTATTGAGGCCACTTGGAGGTTGATCTGTTTATCTGCCCCAGTGGCCTCAACGACTCTCAGAGAAAGTGCAAATGACCGGATGACGGCGAGGAATACAAATCCTTCCGTTCTCCACCATCCAGTCAAGAGCCGAAGAAGCTTCTTGGATGAGAGGAGAAACATCTTCAAGGAAAGGCAAAGAAAGTCCAGTTTCCTCTTGAAAAAAGCACCTTTTTTGGGGGGGGGCAGCCAAATCGAGCTGAGTTTGACTGCGGTCGCGGTGGCTCTTCTCGTTGTTCCCAGGATATGACAGCGCGAGACCTTCTGCAGCAAAGGTACACTCTGCCCAACGGGGACACCTCCTGGAGGCCTTCTCCTCTGGTCACCGCTGCTCTCCAGGGGAAGCTGGTAATTCTGGATGGCATTCACCGGGTCAACCCAGGCACGCTAGCTGTCCTCCAAAGGTATCGCGACGGTGGTGGGAAGCTTTGTGGAATGCTACGAAGGCTTGAAGCGTGTGCACACACTATGGTCACGTTCACCCTTCCATTTGAGTAGAGGCACAGTGACCTTGTTGGAGCATAATTGCAAGACGTGTGCAGAATAGGTGTCGTTTGGGTCATGAAAAGACTGCAAGAACCACCAAGCTCAGCACCAAGGATCCCACAGTTCTCCTCCTCCTCCTCCTCCTCCTCCTCCTCCTCCTCCTCCTCCTCCTCCTCCTCCCTTCTAGCACTGATCATGTTACCTAGTTGGGTCATGAAAAGTCTGCAAGAAAACAGCCAAGCTCAGAAAGCACCAAGGACCCACACAATTTTCCTCCTCCTCTTCCTCCTCCTCCTCCTCCTCCTCCTTCTTCTCTTCCTCCTCCTCCTCCTCCCTTCTAGCACTGATCATGTTACCTAGTTGGGTCATGAAAAGTCTGCAAGAAAAACAACCAAGCTCAGAGAGCGCCAAGGACCCACACAATTTTCCTCCTCCTCCTCCTCCTCCTCCTCCTCCTCCTCCTCCTCCTCCTCCTCCTCCTCCCTTCTAGCACTGATCATGTTACCTAGTTGAGTCATGAAAAGTCTGCAAAAAACAACAACCAAGCTTTTCGGGGGAACTCACTATCATGTCCTTGTCAAACTAGACATGCCCAATTCCAGCAACCGTTCCTTGTATGTTTTAGCCTCCAGTCCCCTGATCCTCTTTGTTGCTCTTCTCTGCACCCTTTCTAGAGTCTCAGCATCTTTTTTACATCACGGTGACCAAAACTGAATATGTGTTCCCAGAAAACCCAGACTGATGACAACCCCGTTTATTTGTTTCTTTCTTTCACAAAACCTCTTGCAGATTGATTCACGATAGAGAGATTACACTGTACGACGGTACCAGATTATTGAGGGAAGACAGATACCGAAAGCTACAGGAAGATCTTCAAATCTCAGCTGAGGAGCTGCAGCAAAGGTAACCTTCTAGGCATTTATTAAAACGAATTGCATTTTCAAACAGACAGAGGGAGGAAAGTAAAGGACTTGCTTTATGTCTTTGGGAAGATCTGGACCAGAGGCCTTCAAATGTGGCCCTTTGATGACTTGTGGACTTCAACTCCCAGAATTCCTCAGCCAGCCTCCATTTTGTTTGTTAGATTTAAGACAGGGGTCTTCAAATGTGGCCCTTTTGTGACTTGTGAACTTTAGCTCCCAGAATTCCTCAGCCAGCCTCCATTTTGTTTGTTAGATTTAAGACAGGGGTCTTCAAACTTCCCCTTTGATGCCTTGTGGACTTCAACTGCCAGAATTCCTCAGCCAGCCTCCATTTTGTTTGTTATATTTAAGACGGGTCTTCAAACCTGGCCCTTTGATGACTTGTGGTCTTCAACTCCCAGAATTCCTCAGCCAGGCACATTGCTGCCCTTCTAGATGTTGACAGCTGCCGTGTCATTTGTTCCCATTTCCCATGTTTGTTTCTACTCTTTCCCCGTTCATGTTTATCAGCAGAGATTCAGCTTTGAGGCTTGCGACATTCGGCTAAAAATAACCGTGTTGAACTTCAAGGCTTTGATCTGCAGGAGTGTTTTCAGAAACAGGAGTTGACTCTTTTGCATTTTTTCTTGGGCTTCCCCCCCCCCCCCCAAAAAAGAGGGCTCACTGCTGTGTAACTTCTCCACATTATTCCTGCAGGCCAAAGTTGGACTAAATCTTTTGCATCGCAGTACACAACTCTGTTGGGTGAAGTGGCAAAGAAACAGAAAGTCTTCTTTTAGTCCAAATTTACAATTAACAGGCGAGCACGCTTGGCTCGAATAAATGCGTCATGTCTGCTTGCTGCTCTGGCTTTCTCCAATTAATTGGGCATCATTAATTCTGGGTAATCTTGTAGCGGTGGGAAATCTCCCGGGTGAATCGGGGTTAAAGACAGCAAAGAGCGATCGCGTGCGTAGGTAAGGGTTTAATTCTGATCTAATATCGTTACCCCTGGTTAGACTAATCAATTCTGGCTATTAAGTTGTATTGGGGGGGGGGGGGAATGCTAGCTTGGTTATTTATTTGGGGACCCAGAACAGAAATGCAGAAACTGAACACCTGGAGGAGAAGGATAGGCAGAACCTGGGGTGGGAGAGGAATCAGTATGGAATCCTTACGTTCTCACAAATGCTCTAATTCCAATTCCTTTTGAATTCCATTAACTCAGTATTGTTATTTTACATTCTTTTTCTCCTAGGGCTATTTTTCCCATCCACCCCTCCTTCCGAGTGGTCGCCTTGGCAGAACCGCCTTCCGTTGGAAGTACCACGCAGCAGTGGTTGGGCCCAGAGCTTTTAACCCTATTCTTTTTCCATTATATGAAGCCGCTAAGCAAGAACGAAGAAATTAAAGTTATTAAAGAGATGGTAAGATTTGTCGTTTGAGTCACCGTTTACCCTGTTCGTCTTTTCAGCATATTAAGTGTTGGCTGGTCTTCCCCATGATCATTTGTTTGCATTAACTTTTGTCCCAAATTCCTTGACGCTTCTCTTAAATCTCCTTGTGCCCTTTTGAGGTGTGTGTGTGTGTGTGTGTGTGTGTGTGTATTTGTCTACACCAGGGTGAGCACAGAAGGAGGCTTATGCATTATTTGTTTCAGGTTCCAAATGTAGCCCGGGCCTCGGCGGAGAAGCTGCTGATGTTAACGCACAAGCTTCGCGAGACTAACGATCCCACCGTGAGTTTTGACGTTTCCACGTTTGATCCTTCGCCTTGCTTTTTCACCGTCAGATCCCTAAAAGTCCCCTTGTCATGGTTCCAACAGATGAAACTCTTCAAAGAATTTGACTTATGGCCACCATTGAGCTGAACATTTCTGTTGGTCAGACCATTGTTAAGTGAATTTTGCCCCATTTGACGACCTTTCTTGCCATAGTTATTAAACGAATCGCTGCAGTTGTCAAAGCTGTTAGATTATTTCGTGCCCAAATTGTTTACAGGGAGTCAGTCTGAAAAGTAGGTTTTTCTCAGTGCAGTTTTTCTTTAAATGGCAAAATGTCCAAAGGCTGCTATCACATTGGAGTGAGTCACATTTAGCCCCGGGAGGTAAATGCTTCTTACAGATGAATAGTGACAAAGCATCCACAGGAAAAAAAAAAAGAGATAAAAATAGCTTGCTTTTGCTGTCAATTGAACTTCATGCCTTAAGTACCTAGAGGGGGAAAAAAAGTAAGATTTGCAAGCTTCCAGATGTGTGTTGATTCACAAATGCGGTTGCTAGCTCCCTCAGTGTGCCGACGGCTCTTCCCGTTAAAGGTGGATCCAGGTCCTCGCATTGAATCTTCCTGTGGGATATCAACGGGTTTAGATTTCTTTGAGCTGAATTATGGTGCTGGAGAAGATGCCTGCGAGTCCCCTGGACTGTAAGGCAATCCAACCGGTCAATCCTAGAGGAGATCAACCCCAACTGCTCTTGAAAAGGCCAGATCCTGAAGTGGAAACTCAAGTCCTTTGGCCACCTGATGAGAAGGAAGGACTCCCTGGAGAAGAGTCTAATGCTGGGAAAGATGGAGGGCAAGAGAAGAAGGGGACGACAGAGAAGGAGGTGGCTGGATGGAGTCACTGAAGCAGTAGGCGTGAACTTAAATGGACTCCAGAAGTTGGTAGAGGACAGGAAGGCCTGGAGGAGATCAACCCCGACTGCTCTTGAGAAGGCCAGATCCTGAAGTTGAAACTCAAGTCCTTTGGCCACCTAATGGGAAGGAAGGACTCCCTGGAGAAGAGCCTAATGCTGGGAAAGACTGAGGGCAAGAGAAGAAGGGGACGACAGAGAAGGAGGTGGCTAGATGGAGTCCCTGAAGCAGCAGGCATGAGCTTCAATGGACTCCAGAAGATGGCAGAGGACAGGAAGGCCTGGAGGAACATTGTCCATGGGGTCACGATGAGTCAGAGACGACTTCGCAACTAACAACAACACATGTTGGAAACTGTCTAGATCAGGGCTGTTCCAGTCGTGGCAACGTTGAGACCTGTGGACTCCACCTGCCAGAATTCCCCAGCCAAGATTGGATATTCCTGGTTTTCCTGAATGTTTCTTGGTCTTCCAATGCAGTGTTTTGTTTTCATTTCTGTCTTTAAAAGGAGAGAAAAATCAACGGAGGACAAATTCAGGAAACGTTCCCGTCCCAGTGGGAATATTGGCTTTTCCTCTGTTTACATAATTATAATAGCTAATTAATGCAGATTGGGCCAAAGGTGCTTCCCCCCCCCCCAAAAAAAGGCAACTGTACTTTCTCGGATTTTTTTTTCTTTAAAAGCGTTTTGCTTCTCTTCCAAGAAGCTTCCTCAGTTCAGAAGAAGAAGCTCCTTGCATGAGAGGTGAAATGTTTTTAAGGGGGGGGGGAATTAAAAAAGTCCTGTTGCTTTTTGGAAAAGCACTTCTGGGAACAAATATAATAATAGTAGTAGTAGTAGTAGTAGTAGTAGTAGTAGTAGTAGTAGTAGTAATCTGTAATACCATCAAACATCCACATCTGCCTATCCCAGGTCCTGGGTAAGGACTCGATAGGTAGACAAAATGCCAAATCCAGTCTGAACATCTGGCTGACTGTGCGATGATCCATAATAATAATAACAACAACAACAACAACAATGTTGGAAGGGACCTTGGAGGTTTTCTAATCCAATCCCCTGCTCAGGCAGGAAATCCTATAGACAGAGACTTAAGGAAACACTGGGGAGAGGCATTTGTCGGGAACAAACGCTGATTCCTTGGAGTGTTGTGTGTGTTGTTGCTGATCTCTTGTTCTGTGACTTCTGCTTGGAAACCCTTGCACTGGCTGACAACGTTGCTTAGATGTTCAAAGATCTCGGATTGTATTTTGGCTTCCCTTCTGAGACTGCTCAGACAAGCGTGTCTTCACACAGACTCCTTAGGTTTATGATGTATGTGTCATTCTTTCTTATCTCCATGGCCTTGAGTAAATTCCTCTCCTAATCAGACTGTATTTGAAACTACTTGCAGCCAGAGGCGGCTGAAGGATGTGTTTGTCTTCCTTTGTTCTGGGGCTTGCCAGAAACGTGGGAGCATTTGGGGAAAATTTGGAGCAATTAAAGGGTGGGTTGCATTGCCAGCTGACTGCACTGCCTCGCTGCTGTGCCCTGGGTCATCACAGATTCACTGAACAGCCGTGGCAAGGCAAGTCGTCCAAGAGGGCAAAAAAATCACTTTAACAAACGTTTGACTTAGCCACAAAAATTTGGGGGCTCTGTTGCAGTCACAACTGGAGGACTTCTCTGTCGCGGCCACAGCATTGCTCTTTTGTAGCAAACTTTCCAGTTTGGTTGATACTTTAGAGGAGCAGACAAAATTGCGTTGAATTTCCTTTATTCCTTTTCAGTTCCCAGCTTGCACCATCTGTCCGGTGATGCTGGGCTCTTTAATAAGACATTAATCTCACCCAGCTGGGTTTACCCTCTGGATTTGAAGCCAATGTAAGCTTAACCCGTTAGCTGTGAAAGCCACAGAAAACAGATTTGGTTCCTGTATATATATTTTTTTGTAATCTCTTCCATTTTCATCTTTGTTTTGCTTCTCTGTGGGAGAAAGTCTCTCGGCTGCCCGAGCGGTAATGAAGCATCGCATTCCCTGGTCGTTAAGACTGCACTACTTAGCTTCAAACTCTGATTCCACATCCTGGTTAATGATAGTTGATTAGTGGCGGTGCATCCGTGTGGTGTCAGGAAGGGCCTCCAGGCAGAAAATGCTCGGCTTACCCCCAGAAATCGTGGGCACTCCATCACTGGAGATTTTTAAGGAGAGGCTAGGATTACCAGGTAATCCTTGATTTACGGACCGCAATTGGGCCCAAACTTTCTGTGGTTAAGTGAGACGTTTGTTGAGCGGGTTTTGCCCCATTTTACGACCTTGCTTGTCATAGTTGTTAAGTGAATCTGTCATGGTTCCGACAGATGAAACTCTTCAAAGAACTTCCAGGCATTGTTTACCTTAAAGAATCTTTATTTGAGTAGTGTAGCATCAGCACTATCACAGTCGAAGCCAAAAACTGGATTCCCCTCCCCTTAGCACATAGTATCAAAGCACAATTCCCTCCTCCAGTTAACTGTCATAAATCACATTCTCCAATTAGCTTGAAATGCAGGCTTTCCCTTCAATTCTTCAGCCCGCCAATTCTTATCATCTCTTATTTCAATAACCTTGGTTCTCACACTAGGTCCAGTATTGTTATGTCTAGCTAAACTCTCATGCACATTCCTCCACCCAGCATCATCTAACTCTAACTCTAAGAGTAAAACACAAGAAGAAAATGGTTGCATCTCCATCTGTTGTCAAAGCAAAAACATCCGATGTTAGCAGCGTTGACAGAATCGCTGCAGTTGATACGTCAGAAACCTGGTTGTTAAGTGAATCCGGCTTCCCCCACTGACTTTGGTTGTCAGAAGGTCGCAAAAGGGGATCATATAACACCAGAACACTGAAACTGTCATAAGTACATGCCAGTTGCCAAGCCTCTGAATTCTGATCACGTGACCATGGGGAAAACAGTCCTAAGTCACTTTTTCTGTACCGTTATAACTTTGAACAAGTCGAGGACTAACCTGTATATGCCCTCAGCTTTCAGCTGGTCACAATGTGATCTACAGTTTGATGGGGGGGGCACCTACAGTCACACTAGGGAGGGTACCATGCCCCATTTATACATAGGGTTGTCCCAAAGGTGCTTTTTTTTTCAGGAGGCAACTGGACTTTCTTGTTTTGCTTTGAAGACATTTCCCTTCTCATCCCAGAAGCTTCTTCAGCTCTGACTGGATGGTGGGGAAGGGAAGGATTTATACTCCTTGCAGACAGCTGGTCATTTGCCTCCTTTTAGAGAGTCATTGAGGCCACTTGGAGGTTTACCTGTGTCCTCAGGGTCACCTGAGTGGTGCAAATGGCTGTGGAGCCTTATTGGGACTGCTGAAAGGACGGTGTTGTAGACTGGAGATCGATGATATCGTATCCCTTCCCTTCTGTTGAGAGAGGGCTGTTCAATTTTGACCTAGATGGCTTCTTGCAGCCCTCTTTCAAGCCAGCGGTCCTCTCTGTCCAAAATGTGGACTTTGCTGTCTTCCAAAGAGCGGCCTTTTGCCTTTGAAATCCAGAATTTTCTCCTGATGGGTTTCTTCTCCTATGTTGTGCGATGCATTTACGAAGGGGTTGTTTTGTTTCCCCAATGTTCAGATCCACACACGTCTCACTGCATTGTATCACGTTGCTCAGTTTTGTGTCTGGGTGTTTCATCCTTGGGGTGGGCAAGCTTCTGCCTTAGTGTGTTCTTGGATTTCAAGCATGCATGTATGTTGTGTTGGCAACAGAGGGGGTAGGGATACAACACCATCTATCTCCAGTCTACAACACAGTCCCAAGAAGGCTCCACACCCATTAGCACCACTCAGGTGACTCTGAGGACACAGATATAAACCTCCAGGTGGCCTCAACGACTCTCTCAAAGGAGGCAAATGACCAGCTGTCTGCAAGGAGTATAAATCCTTCCATTCCCCCACTATCCAGTCAGAACTAAAGAAGCTTCTGGGATGAGAAGCGAAACGTCTTCAAAGAAAAAAAACAAGAAAGTCCAGTTGCCTGCTGAAAAGCACCTTTGGGATGCCTTTAAATAGCATTTTTTACTCTTTGGCAGCGTCCAAAGCTGTGCCAGGACAGACCTACAGGCGTTGAAAGGTCCCCGGTGGGCACCAGACTTGGAAAGATTTCTTCTGCCAAGCATTGCGCGTTTTGAAAGAACGGTCTCTCGTCTTTCCCAGGGGAAGATAAAGGAAATTAAATTCATTTCTCATTAACAGGCACAGTCCCTGGCCTCCTCCTTATCTACCCGCCAGCTCTTGAGGATCTGCCGGCGTCTATCTCACTATCCAGACGAAAGCCTCCACCACGCTATCAATAAAGCTTGTCTTTCCAGGTAGGATTTTTTAGGAAGTGTTTTCTTTTGGGCAGGCATTTTCCTTTTTTTAATCTCAAGTCTGGACGTCGGTCGTTCATTTCCTCGTTGTTTGGAAGATAATGGAGAAGAAACCTTTGATCAGTTGGCTGTGATTCATCTCAACCACCAGGATGTCCTCGACCGCAGTTGCATCAAAAAAAAACCTGAATTAGCTTATAGCTTAAACTATAGTATAAAATACGAAAATGCAAAAGCAGGTAGTAGGGAACAAAGGTAAGGGGAAGGGAGAATAGAATAGAATAGAATAGAATAGAATAGAATAGAATAGAATAGAATAACAGAGTTGGAAGGGACCTTAGAGGTCATCTAGTCCAACCCCCAACTCAGGCAGGAAACCCTATACCATTTCAGATAAAAGGCTGTTCAATCTCTTCTTAAAAATGTCCAGTATTGGAGCACTCAACACAGAATAGAATAGAATAGAATAGAATAGAATAGAATAGAATAGAATAGAATAGAATAGAATAGAATAGAATAACAGAGTTGGAAGGGACCTTGGAGGTCATCTAGTCCAACCCCCTGCTCAGGCAGGAAACCCTGTACCATTTCAGACAAATGGCTGTCCAGTCTCTTCTTAAAAACTTCCACTGCTGGAGCATTTACAGCTTTTGGAGGCAGGTTGTTCCACTGGTTAATTGTTCCAAGTGTTAGGAAGTTTCCCCTTAGTTCCAGGTTGCTTCTCTCCTTGGTTGGTTTCCATCTGTTGCTTCTTATCCTGCCTTCAGGTGCTTTGGAGAATAGCTTGACTCCCTCTTCTTTGGGGCAGCCCCTGAGATACTGGAACGCTGCTATCCTGTCCCCCCTCGTCCTTCTCTTCATTAAACTAGACATGCCCAATTCCAGCAGCCGTTCCTTATATGTTTTAGCCTCCAGTCCCCCAATCATCTTTGTTGCTCTTCTCTGTACTCTTTCTAGAGTCTCAGCATCTTTTTTACATCATGGTGACCAAAACTGGATGCAGCATTCCAGGTGTGGCCTTACCAAGGCCTTGTAAAGTGGTATTAAGACTTCACCTGATCTTGATTCTATCCCTCTGTTAATGCAGCCCAGCACTGTGTTGTCTATTTGGCAGCTGCAGCACACGGCTGGCAAGATCACTATAGGATCTGGTCACCTCTAAGAAGTCTACAGAGCAGACTTTTTTCTCTGTGTGAAATAACTTCCCCTTTTTTTCTTGTGGTATCTAGGTTTTTACCCAACCTCGCCAAATCTGCCTTACATAAAAACCTGCTGGATGCCGAGATCGAATCAAGCTCTGCCGATATCCAGAAAACGGAGGGACGAGACTATAGCTGTAAGCTGTTGGTATTTTTCTTTCTTTTCTTTTTTTTCCTGTTAAATTAAATTGTACGCGTACAAACTGGGCCCGACTCTGTCCTACTTCTAACTCTGGAATCTTGTTTCACCTGTTAGCAACCAAAAGGTTCTGAGTCTTCCTAGAGACTTGCTTCATTTTTTTTAGAGTACTGTAATTTGGTTTACTGTCATGCCAGCTGCAATTTTTGCAGATTTCTATGCCAGGAAATTCCACAACTGGGATTGCAAAGAAAGGAAACCTTCTTGCAGAACAAATCACGGTTACATCTTTGTTTGCTAAAACAAGAGTTAGGTAGACAAACACTCAAGCTAATATCTCAAAGCAAACAAAGTGGACATCAAAATGCATCTACCGTATTTCCCCCCCAAATAAGACCTGGTCTTATATTAATTAAGCATTAGGGCTTATTTTCCAGTTAGGGCTTATATTTGGGGAAATACGGTACTGAATGCTTCAGTCTGGCTGACAATCTTAACTGGGGCTTATTTTTTGGGTGGGCATCCTGAAAAACCATGCTAGGGCTTATTTTCTGGCGGGGTCTTATTTTGGGGGGAAACACAGTATAGCCAAGTCCCATTTCAAAAGCCCCTTTGGAAGTCTTTCTCAGAGGACTTTCCAAAATGAAGTATTTCAGTGGCATTTTGAATGCAAAGAGCTGTGCCCATCTGGGCATAAAGAGACGATCCTTGATTTGTGTGCACATCCAGGTGAAATCAAGTCAGGAGTCCTCAGGATTGGAAGTGTCCAAATTCCGGTTTACAACCCCGACGAGAGCATGAAAGTGCCTGACGTTCTTTTCTATGAAAATACTCAAGTAAGTATCCCTTTGATCTCCTGTCCTTTCAGGTGGATGGAGACCAAGCCTCTGGGCTGTCTTTTGAAGATGGGCTCGCAGTCAAAGTCTCTCCCCAAAATGGGCATATTTGGCCTTTTCAGATTATGTTCAGGGCATCTACAAAATGGCTATTGGATTAGAAGCTGGCCTGTTGAGAAGGGGATAGGGAAGAGAAGAGAAGAGAAGAGAAGAGAAGAGAAGAGAAGAGAAGAGAAGAGAGAAGAGAATTTGAATAGAGAATAGAGACTTAGAACAGAATAGATAATAGAATTAGAACAGAATAGAATAGAATAGAATAGAATAGAATAGAATAGAATAGAATAGAATAGAATAGAATAGAATAGAATAGAATAAGTGGAATTTTCCTCCAATGCGATTTTCCTATGTATTTTACCAGGAAACGTAGATAGGGCAGCCTAGAAAAGTAAGTGCCCTCCTAACCATGCACAAGCACTCCGAATTTGTTCCCAGTGTCCATTTTGCTCTACGTGTTCATGGTGACCTAACCCTAACCCTAAGTGGAATTTTTCTCCTATGGGATTTTCCCATGTATTTTACCAGGAAACATAGATAGGGCAGCCTAGAAAAGTCAGTGGTCTCCTAACCATACCCAAGCACTCCGAGTTTGTTGGCGGTGTCCATTTTGCTCTCTGAGTTCATGGTGACCTAACCCTAAACCTAAGTGGAATTTTCCTCCAATGGGATTTTCCCATGTATTTTGCCAGGAAACATAGATAGGGAAGCCTAGAAAAGTCAGTGCCCACCTAACCATACCCAAGCACTCCACGTTTGTTGGCGATGTCCATTTTGCTCTACGCATTCATGGTGACCTAACCCTAACCCTAAGTGGAATTTTCCTCCTATGGGATTTTCCCATGTATTTTACCAGGAAACATAGATAGGGCAGGCTAGAAAAGTCAGTGCCCTCCTCCATACCCCTGGCAATGTCATTTGCTCTACAAGCTCATGGTGACCTAACCCTAACCCAGTGAATTTTCCTCCTATGGGATTTTTGTACCAGGAAACATAGATAGGGCAGGCTAGAAAAGTCAGTGCCCTCCTAACCATACCCAAGGACTCTGAATTTGTTGGCAATGTCCATTTTGCTCTACAAGTTCATGGTGACCTAACCCTAACCCTAAGTGGAATTTTCCTCCTATGGGATTTTCCCATGTATTTTGCCAGGAAACATAGATAGGGCAGGCTAGAAACGTCAGTGCCCTCCTAACCATACCCAAGCACTCCGAATTTGTTGGCGATGGCCATTTTGCTCTCTGAGTTCATGGTGATCTAACCCTAACCCTAAGTGGAATTTTCCTCCTATGGGATTTTCCCATGTATTTTACCAGGAAACATAGATAGGGCAGCCTAGAAAAGTCAGTGGTCTCCTAACCATACCCAAGGACTCTGAATTTGTTGGCAATGTCCATTTTGCTCTACCATGGTGACCTAACCCTAACCCTAAGTGGCTCCTATTGGACCATGAACCAGGAAACATAGATAGGGCAGCCTAGGTGACCTAACCCTAACCCTAAGTGGAATTTTCCTCCTATTGGATTTTCCCATGAATTTTGCCAGGAAACATAGATAGGGCAGCTAGAAAAGTCAGTGCCCTCCTAACCATACCCAAGGACTCTGATTTGTGGCGCTGTCCATTTTGCTCTACGCTCATGGTGACCTAACCTAACCCTAAGTGGAATTTTCCTCCTAGGGGATTTCCATGTATTTTACCAGGAAACTAGATAGGGCAGCCTAGAAAAGTCATTGCCCTCCTAACCATACCCAAGCACTCCAAATTTGTTGGCGATGGCCATTTTGCTCTCTGAGTTCATGGTGACCTAACCCTAACCCTAAGTGGAATTTTCCTCCTATGGGATTTTCCCATGTATTTTACCAGGAAACATAGATAGGGCAGGCTAGAAAAGTCAGTGCCCTCCTAACCATACCCAAGGACTCTGAATTTGTTGGCAATGTCCATTTTGCTCTACAAGTTCATGGTGACCTAACCCTAACCCTAAGTGGAATTTTCCTCCTATTGGATTTTCCCATGTATTTTGCCAGGAAACATACATAGGGCAGGCTAGAAACGTCAGTGCCCTCCTAACCATACCCAAGCACTCCGAATTTGTTGGCGATGGCCATTTTGCTCTACTGAGTTCATGGTGACCTAACCCTAACCCTAAGTGGAATTTTCCTCCTATGGGATTTTCCCATGTATTTTACCAGGAAACATAGATAGGGCAGGCTAGAAAAGTCAGTGCCCTCCTAACCATACCCAAGGACTCAGATGGCCTAATCCTAACTATACCCAAGCACTCCGAGTTTGTTGGCGGTGTCCATTTTGCTCTCTGAGTTCATGGTGACCTAACCCTAACCCTAAGTGGAATTTTCCTCCAATGGGATTTTCCCATGAATTTTGCCAGGAAACATAGATAGGGCAGCCTAGAAAAGTCAGTGCCCACCTAACCATACCCAAGGACTCTGATTTGTTGGCGATGTCCATTTTGCTCTACGCATTCATGGTGACCTAACCCTAACCCTAAGTGGAATTTTCCTCCTATGGGATTTTCCCATGTATTTTACCAGGAAACATAGATAGGGCAGGCTAGAAAAGTCAGTGCCCTCCTAACCATACCCAAGGACTCTGAATTTGTTGGCAATGTCCATTTTGCTCTACAAGTTCATGGTGACCTAACCCTAACCCTAAGTGGAATTTTCCTCCTATGGGATTTTCCCATGTATTTTGCCAGGAAACATACATAGGGCAGGCTAGAAACGTCAGTGCCCTCCTAACCATACCCAAGCACTCCGAATTTGTTGGCGATGGCCATTTTGCTCTCTGAGTTCATGGTGATCTAACCCTAACCCTAAGTGGAATTTTCCTCCAATGGGATTTTCCCATGTATTTTGCCAGGAAACATAGATAGGGCAGCCTAGAAAAGTCAGTGCCCTCCTAACCATAGCCAAGCACTCCACGTTTGTTGGCGGTTTCCATTTTGCTCTACGCGTTCATGGTGACCTAACCCTAACCCTAAGTGGAATTTTCCTCCTATGGGATTTTCCCATGTATTTTACCAGGAAACATAGATAGGGCAGGCTAGAAGAAAAGTCAGTGCCCTCCTAACCATACCCAAGCACTCCGAATTGTTGGCTGTCCATTTTGCTCTACGAGTTCATGGTGACCTAACCCTAACCTAAGTGGAATTTTCCTCCTATGGGATTTTTCCATGTATTTTACCAGGAAACATAGATAGGGCAGCCTAGAAAAGTCAGTGCCCACCTAACCATACCCAAGGACTCTGAATTTGTTGGCGATGTCCATTTTGCTCTACGCATTCATGGTGACCTAACCCTAACCCTAAGTGGAATTTTCCTCCTATGGGATTTTCCCATGTATTTTACCAGGAAACATAGATAGGGCAGCCTAGAAAAGTCAGTGCCCTCCTAACCATACCCAATCACTCCGAATTTGTTGGCCTTGTCCATTTTGCTCCCAAGTCAAGAGGTTTTGCATTTCTTTCCATTGTGTGTAGTTAGCTATATTTAGCTAAGTTCTGGAACCTATCCAAGATTATTGGGTGCATCGTTGCTGCCTTCTTAGTTCTTGTGTGTGTGAATGATCTGGAAAGTGTGTTCCATTTTAAACCCCAAACAAGCGTATTGTGTTCTTGGGGTTCTGATGGGCCAATCTAGAGCAGATCCTGGTTCAGCAGAAACGAAATTTAAGAACATTTTTGTTGTTTCAGACATTAGGATTCTGGACCAATTTTATGAATGAGTAAGGTGCATAGTCATCTCTATTCTAAACCTTTCAGCATCTCCCAGTGTAGCATTAGTACTGGTCTGCTCACCAGTAGTACCTTCCTTTCTCTCCCTTCTTTTGCTGTCCCAAGGAGGAGAAAGTGGAGAGGGGGGTCCTTGGTGCTCTCTGAGCTTGGTGGTTTTCTTGCAGACGTTTCATGACCCAACTAGGGAATATCATCAGTGCTAGAAGGAAGAGGTGTTTGTAGGGAGAAGGAGGAGGAGGGGGAGGAGGAGGAGGAGAATGACTGTGGGGTCCTTGGTGCTCTCTGAGCTTGGTGGTTTTCTTGCAGACGTTTCATGACCCAACTAGATAACATCATCAATGCTAGAAGGGTTTGGGTTTGTGGAGAGGAGGAGGAGGAGGAGGACGACGACTGTGAGGTCCTTGGTGCTCTCTGAACTTGGTGGTTTTCACCAGATGTTGCAGATGTTTCATGACCCAACAAGGTAACATCATCAATGTTAGGAGGAAGTGGGGTTATAGGGGAGGAAGGGGAAAAGGAGGAGGGGGGGGACTGTAGGTTCCTTGGTGCTCTCTGAGCTTGTTTATTTTCTTCCTGACTTTTTATGACCCTACTAGGTTACATCATCAGTGCTAGCTAGGACTCCTTGTAGCACTGATGATGTTACCTAGTTGGGTCATGAAACATCTGCAAGAAAACAACCAAGCTCAAGGATCACCAAGGACCCCACAGCCCCCCCCCCTCCTCTTCCTCCTCTTCTCCAAAAAAACACACTACTTCCTAGCACTGATGATGTTGCCCAGTTGGGTCATGAAACGTCTGCAAGAAAACCACCAAGTTGAAGGAGCACCAGGGACCCCTCGTCGTAATGATTCTCCGACGAGTATAATTCTGTGCGGCTGACTCAGAAGAATCACAACAGCATTCATACTTCAGTGTTTTCACTCACTCCTTTTTCTTTTCTTCCCAATTTTAAAACATGGCTTTCTTTTCCATGTTAGCATATGATGGTGATGGAAGACATGTTAAAAGACTTTTTGCTCGGAGAGCATCTTCTTTTAGTGGGCAACCAGGTAAGAGAAATCACATTTTTTTTTTCCCTATCCAATCCATTTTGCGCATTTAAATATTCAAAGCTCTTTATCTGTTCTGCCAACGAGTCAGTTTCCCTGAAATTGTAAGCGTGACTTCCGAATACGGGCCTGCCCTCAATTTAACAACAGTCCATTTAGGGACCGTTCAAAGTTACAACGGCATTGAAAAAAAATGTGACGTACGACCGTTTTCACACTTACGACCGTTGCGGCATCCCCTGATCAAAATTCAGACGCTTGGCCCCTGACTCGTACTTACGACGATCGCCGCGTCCTGGGGTCACATGACCCCTTTTTGGGTCCTTCTGAGAGGCAAACTCAATGGGGAGCGAATTCCACTTAACGACATTACTAACTTAACAACTGCAGTTGTTAAGGAAGGTTGTAAAACGGGGAAAAAGTCCCTTTTTCGCTGAGCAACAGGAATTTTGGGATCAAATAATAGGTGGGAAAGAAATGGAGGTAGTGACAGATTTTATCTTCCTGGGCTCCAAGATCACCACAGATGGGGACTGTAGCCAAGAAATTAAAAGACGCTTGCTCCTGGGGAGGAAAGCTATGGCAAATCTAGACAGCATACTAAAAAGCAGAGACATCACCCTGCCAACAAAAGTGCATATAGTCCAGGCCATGGTTTTCCCACTTGCAATGTATGGCTGTGAAAGTTGGACCATGAGAAAGGCTGAGCGCCAAAGAATAGAGGCCTTTGAGCTATGGTGCTGGAGAAGACTCCTGCGAGTCCCCTGGACTGCAAGGCGACCAAACCGGTCAGTCCTAGAGGAGATCAACCCCGACTCCTCTTGAGAAGGCCAGATCCTGAAGCTGAAACTCAAGTACTTTGGCCATCTAATGGGAAGGAAGGACTCACTGGAGAAGAGCCTGATGCTGGGAAAGATGGAGGGCAAGAGAAGAAGGGGATGACAGAGAAGGAGGTGGCTGGATGGAGTCACTGAAGCAGCAGGCGTGATCTTCAATGGACTCCAGAAGATGATAAAGGACAGGAAGACCTAGAGGAACGTGGTCCATGGGGTCGCGATGGGTCGGACACGACTTCGCAACTAACAACAACAAGCCGAGAACTATCTGCATGTAGCCACGAGGCATTACGGCCGTTAACTCTACAGCAAATCAACCTTCCCTTTTGATTAAAAAAATGATGCAATTAAACTCTTTTGTTTGCAAGGAGTTCGGTGAGTTAATAATGGTTTTAAGTGGGATGTAGCCTGATCATCATCCTTTTTGTATTTACCTGGGATGTCGTGGCCTGGAGTTTTAGTGCCAGAAACTGAGGACGATTCTCATTTTAGCTGGCAAATTGAGTTCCTTTGTAGAGACTGTTCCACGCTATCTTCCCCTCTAAAATATCCCTCATTGTGGTTGCCTTGTTGTTGCAGGGTGTGGGGAAAAATAAAGTGGTCGACAGATTCCTCCAGCTGTTAAATCGACCCAGAGAATATTTGCAGCTGCACAGGTGAGCCGAGCTTTGGAGGGTGGGATTCTTGCTGTCAACATTTGGAGTTAGGCAAAAGGCTTTTTAAAAAATATTTATTTATCTTTCATATTTCTTAACTGCCCACTCCTTCAGAGTAGGGCTCTGTTTTCTCTTCAGATTGCAGTTAAGGGAGTGGGCAGTTAAGAAATATGAAAGATAAATAAAGCTTAAAAAGATTTTAGAAAACTATCACATATATAATGTGAAAAGAAATCAGATTCCCTCTCTGAGGGAGTGGGCAGTTAAGAAATATGAAAGATAAAGGTTAAAAAATATTTTAGAAAACTACTATATATATAATCTGAAGAGAAACCAGAAATGTCAAATTAACTCAAGCAGTGGCATATTAAGAAAACTTACATAAAATGTTTTACAGATGGCATAGGAGACCAGTGAGATTAGCAAAAATGTTTAAAAATACTTGCAATAAGTGTTGGAAATGCAAACAAGACCAGGTAAGGTACTTATTACCATATCTGGTGGACATGCCCTGAGGCAAAAAGATTTTGCTTAAAAATACATTTATGGTTGGAGAAAATGACTAAAAAAATAAATAGACTTTAAGCCAGAATTAGTTTAGTAAGGAATAATAGGAGCAAATTATGAGAAAGTTTGTATGTATTTAATTCCACACCTACTAACTGCAGCAAGAATTGTATTTGCCCAACATTGGAAAAATGAAAATTTATCAACTGAAGAAGAATTAATTAAGGAAAAATTTAAGAGTGTGCAGAAATGGACAGATTGACTTTAAAGAGAAAAGAGAAAGAAGACAGTATATTTTAGAACATGGGATAATTTCTATCAATGGCTAGAAAAACCAGTTAGAGAGAAAGGAATGTGATATGTAACTTTGAATATATATTAGCAAGAAGACCATCGAGCAATTAAATAACATATTGTTTATGGTAATTAACTATTGTCTATTAATTTTTGTTAAACACATGAACTCCATTATATATATATAATGTGAAGAAAAATCTCCCTGAGGGAGTGGGCAGTTAAGAAATATGAAAGATAAATAAAAGTTAAAAATATTTTAGAAAACTATTACATATATAATGTGAAGAGCAACTGGAACCCCTCTCTGAGGGAGTGGGCAGTTGAGAAATATGAAAGATAAATAAAAGTTAAAAATATTTTAGAAAACTATTACATATATAATGTGAAGAGCAACTGGAACCCCTCTCTGAGGGAGTGGGCAGTTGAGAAATATGAAAGATAAATAAAAGTTAAAAATATTTTAGAAAAATATTACATATATAATGTGAAGAGCAACTGGAACCCCTCTCTGAGGGAGTGGGCAGTTGAGAAATATGAAAGATAAAGGTTAAAAATATTTTAGAAAACTATTACATATATAATGTGAAGAGAAATCTCCCTGAAGGAGTGGGCAGTTAAGAAATATGAAAGATAAATAAAGGTTTAAAATATTTTAGAAAACTATTATATATATAATGTGAAGAGCAACTGGAACCCCTCTCTGAGGGAGTGGGCAGTTAAGAAATATGAAAATATAAATAAAGGTTAAAAATATTTTAGAAAACTATTACACATATTATGTGAAGAGAAACCAGAATGTCTCTCTGAGGGAGTAGACTGATATGAAATATAAATAAACATTAAACATATTTTTAAAAACTGCTTTTATATACATACATATGCATACACAGAAACACACACACACACACACACAAAATCTGAAGAGAAACCAGAGCCCCCCTCTGTGGAAGTGGGGGAGTTATATATACAGGTAGTCCTTGACTTACAAGCATTCGTTTAGTGACCGTTCAAAGTTACAACGGCACTGAAAAATGGGATTTAACGACCATATTTCACTCTCATGACCGTTGTAATATCCCACGGTCACGTGATCAAAATTCAGACAGTTGGCAACTGGCATGTACTTAACGACAGTTCGTTTTACGCAGGGAGTTGCTTAACAACTGTGGCAAAATAGCCCTAGCAATAGCACTTATATACCGCTTCACAGTGCTTTTTTACAGCCCTCTCTAAGGGGTTTAAAGGGTCAGCATATGAGCCCCCAACCCTCTGGGTCCTCATTTTTACCGATCTCGGAAGGACGGAAGGCTGAGCCCACCTTGAGCTGGTCAGGATCGAACTTCCTGGCGGTGGGCAGAGTCAGCCGGGAATATGGCAATACTCCGTTAACAACGGCCTCACGTAGCAGTGGAGATTCTGGCCCCCATTGTCGCAAGCCAGGGGCTACCTGTACTACAGATCCACTAAGGCACTTAGATTCCTCCGACTGGACTCAAAACACCAGCTTTTAATGTTAGGGCTTTAAATGGCCCCTGCTGGCCTTTGGAAAAGGGAACACTCGGTGACCGGCAGAAGTGATTAAAAGAGAAGAAAAATGTATGCTGCCTCCCGTTGTGAATCAGGGAGTAGAAAATAGCACAGCATGTTTGCAAATGCAACTTCCCCTCCCTCCCTCCCTCCCCACTTTCCCCAATGCACTGAGGTGCTCAGCTGGGATCTGTGACTAGAAGCCTGTCCCTGATTTGCCGCCCTAGGGACACCACCGTGCAGAGCCTGACGCTTCAGCCGTCCGTGAAAGAGGGCCTGATTGTGTACGAGGACTCTCCACTCGTAAGTCTCTTGCAAGGGGCGACTGGGTTGCTGCTTCCGTCGTTAAAATCTGAGAGAACCCATGCGCTCGTGGGGCAGGCCCCTCTGCGTGGAGTCCCTGGTAAATCCAGGGTTCACGTTGTAAGAAGACTGTCCCCTAAATAAATTAGGTTATTATAATTTATAAGATAGGTAGGTAGGTAGGTAGGTAGGTAGATACAGATAGATACAGTAGATAGATAGATAGATAGATAGATAGATAGATAGATAGATAGATAGATAGATAGATAGATAGATAGATAGAGAAAGGAAAGAAAGAAAGAAAGAAAGAAAGAAAGAAAGAAAAAGAAAGAAAGAAAGAAAGAAAGAAAGAAAGAAAGGTGGATGGATGGATGGATGGATGGATGGATAAAAAAGGTAGGTGGATGGAGAATAGATAGAAAAAGAAAAGAAAGAAAGACGTATAGGTGGATAGATGGATGGATAGATAGATAGTAGATAGATAGCTAGAGAAAGAAAAAGAAAGAAAGAAAGAAAAGAAAGAAAGAGAAAGAAAAAGAAGGAAAGAAAGAAAGAAAGAAAGAAAGAAAGGTGGATGAATGGATGGATAAAAAAGGTAGGTGGATGGAGAATAGATAGAAAAAGAAAAGAAAGAAAGACATATAGGTGGATGGATGGATAGATAGTAGATAGATAGAGAAAGAAAAAGAGAAAGAAAGAAAGGTGGATGGATGAATGGATGGATAAAAAAAGTAGGTGGATGGAGAATAGATAGAAAAAGAAAAGAAAGAAAGACGTATACGTGGATAGATGGATGGATAGATAGATAGTAGATAGATAGATAGATAGATAGATAGATAGATAGATAGATAGATAGATAAAAAAGGATAGGTGTATGGGTAAGTGGATGGATAGAGAGATAGTAGATAGATATAGATTGGATGGATTGGTAGAAAGAAGAAAGAGAAAAGAGGATAGATAGATAGATAGATAGATAGATAGATAGATAGATAGATAGATGAAAAAAAGAGGATAGGTGGATAGATGGATGGACGGACGAATGGACGGACGGATAGACGGACAGACAGTTTTCTTCTGATCCACATTCATCAAATTTGTGAAATAGATATTTTTCTTTTTTGGGGGGGATGACCTAGGAATATCTTTGCTTGGCTTGCCTTGTCCATAATAATAATAAAAGTAGCCTTCATATCAGAATGGGAACCCACTGTGTTGCATCTAGGCTGGAAAGACTAGATTTCTAATATTAGTAATATTTTTTTTCCCCGCCAACGTTTGTCTCATCCCAATCATCTCTTTCTAGGTGAAAGCTGTCAAAAAGGGGCACATCCTCATGATTGACGAGGCAGACAAGGCACCCACAAACGTCACCTGCATTTTGAAAACTTTGGTGGAGAGCGGAGAGATGATTCTGTCCGACGGGAGACGCATTGTTTCTAGTAAGCCGTCCCAGAGAGAAAGTCTTCCAGTAGCTGACTTTCTTACGGATTAATAAATTAAGAGCTGTTAATAACATAACTGGAGATGTAATTTTCTTCAGAGAAATGGAGGGCTTTAGTGATTAATTAATAGTAATTTGTAGTATCCTTTGATAAGCAAGTCATTGCTTTCCGGAATAAAGTCTTAATCAGATTGAAAAGGCTGTTTTTGTTTGTCTAATCTTCCAGATGCTGATGCTGCAGATGGGAGAAAAAATGTCATAGTAATGCATCCGGATTTTAGGATGGTTGTTTTAGCAAACAGGCCGGGATTCCCTTTCTTGGGAAATGACTTTTTTGGAACACTTGGTAAGTCACACACACTTGATTAAAAGCTGCTATTTTATGGTCCTGTCTATGAAAAGATGCTACTTTCGTTTCACTAGTCTGGTTGCAGGGGGGACGGACGGACCTCAAAGTGTAGGTGTATTAAAACCGTTTCTTTATTTTAGACTCTCTTGCTCCTTTGCTTTTTGGGAAAAGAAATATGTATTTTGGGCCATGCGTAATTTTTCCTAGAAAAATGTTTTTTTCAAAAAAAAAAAAAAAAATAAGCTCCATTCTGAAGGGCTAGTAGTAGCGTAGTAAGAAAGCTAAGCTTATTTTCTTCAAAAATTTAAAGTATGTATTTTAGTCCAAGGGTGTAGGTCTGTTCCAGGGGTAGGCAACCTTGGCTCTTTTATGACTTGGGGACTTCAACTCCCAGAATTCCTGAGCCAGCCACGCTGAGGGGAAGGGGAGAGGTTTCCAAGCTGAGCCATGATGGCTCAGGAATTCTGGGAGTTGAAGTCCACGAGTCATGAGGGGGCCATAGTTCCCCCACGCTGGCTGAGGAATTCTGGGAGTTGAAGTCCACGAGTCATGAGGGGGCCATAGTTCCCCCACGCTGGCTGAGGAATTCTGGGAGTTGAAGTCCACGAGTCATGAGGGGGCCATAGCTCCCCCATGCTGGCTGAGGAATTCTGGGAGTTGAAGTCCACGAGTCATAAAAGAACCAAGATTGCCTAACCCTGGTCTATACATATGTTGCATATAGTGTGTTTTAAATGTGGGTTGTGTATGTGTAATTTTGAGAACAAGCACCTAAATTTCATTTTTAATGTGTGCCATTGTGCCCCCAGGAATAAATGACAATAAAGGTTACCTAATCTAAAATTATTTTTTTTTTTCAAAAAAATGAATATGAGTAAAAAAATAAGCTTCTTGCTGAAGGGCTAGTCGTAGTTGTAGTAAGCAAGCTAAGCTTAAACCTCTTGTGTTTTCTTTAAAAGTTTAAAATATTTCGCAGCACCCCTGTGAGTTCACTCTAGTACACTACAGTGCAAAGTCTTCTTCTTTATTAAGTACTATAAATGAATTGAGGCCTTTGAACTATGGTGCTGGAGAAGACTCCTGTGAGTCCCCTGGACTGCAAGGCAATCAAACTGGTCAGTCCTAGAGGAGATCAACCCCGACTGCTCTTGAGAAGGCCAGATCCTGAAGTTGAAACTCAAAGACTTTGGCCACCTCATGAGAAGGAAGGACTCCATGGAGAAGAGTCTAATGCTGGGAAAGATGGAGGGCAAGAGAAGAAGGGGACGACAGAGAAGGAGGTGGCTGGATGGAGTCACTGAAGCAGTAGGCGTGAGCTTCAATGAACTTCAGAAGATGGTAGAGAACAGGAAGGCTTGGAGGAACGTTGTCTATGGAGTCGCGATGGGTCGGACACGACTTCGCGACTGACAAACAAATGAATTAACCTATTGGATGCCATTTTCTCCTTTCTTCTTCTTGCCTCTTCCAGGAGACATATTTAGCTGTCATGCAGTTGATAACCCAAAACCAAACTCAGAACTAGCCATGCTTCGACAGTACGGGCCCGATGTCCCAGACTCAGTTCTCCAGAAACTGGTAGCAGCTTTTGGAGAGCTGCGAAGTTTGGCCGACCAAGGAATTATCAATTATCCTTACTCAACTCGAGAAGTCGTGAACATTGTCAAGCATTTACAGGTAGTGTATGACTGTTCCTAATACTGGACTGTTCACTAATCAATTATTATTTGACTTTAAAGGCTATTTTTAACCTTTGGAAAGCCTGGCGTGTTTCAGAAGATGTTTCTAAGGATGCTTTCGCCTTTGATGTCACCAAATCTTAAAGAAACGTGTCCTCATTGAGATAGAAGCAGGGACTCTTTTTGTGTCCTTCCTCGTTCAATTAATTATGAATGGCTTAATTCAGTGGTTCTCAACCTGTGGGTCGGGACCCCATTTGGGGTCGAACGACCATTTCACGGGGGTCGCCAAACAAGGCTGTCCGCCATTTTTTCCCCCTTTTCTTTGGCCACGCCCCTGGCACCCGGTGATGTATAAGTGGTTGGGGGTCACCACAACATGGGGAACTGTATTGTGGGGTCGCCGCATTAGAAAGTTTGAGAACCACTGGCTTAATTTCTGATTTTTTGGATCGGTGTGAATCCAAGCTGTGTCATGTTCCTTTTGTTGGGTTGTGGGTTGCTCCAACACTGGAGTTTTTAAACAAGCGTTTGGACAACCATTTCTCCGAAACGGTGTAGGGTTGATCAGGGGGTGGGTGGGACTAGAAGACCTCCAAAGTCCCTTCCAGCTCTCTTATTCTCTTACTCCCTTCCTGTAAGTGAAAAGAGTAGAATTCTTCCCGATATGGTTGCATTGTTTTGTGCCCTGAAAAATCCCATACAATTCAAAGAGAGTCTTCTCTTCATCCTGTTTGGTTGCCTGTGTTGTTAAAAAGAAAAAGATTTAGCCTCTAAACCCCTCGTCTAACTTGATTCCTCATCCTTGCTCTCTTTCTGGTTCCTCAGTATCTTTATTTCACTGAGGTGTGACACAGTATTTCAGGTGTAGTTGGTCAGTGGGACCAGTAGAACATAGAGCAAATGGTGTGGGAGTACCGTGGCGCGTGAGTTCCTCATCGTTGTCCTGCTCCTGACTAATTGATCAATTAAACCAGCATTTCTCGACCGTAGCGATTTTAAGATGTGGAGAGTTCAACTCCTTGAAGTCCCAAGCCAGCATGGCTTGCTGGAGAAATCGGAAACTTGAAGTCTAGGCATCTTAAAATTGCCAACTTTAAGAAATACTGAATTAAAAGCCATCTGCCAAGTGTCTTAACCTGTAGGAGAAGGAGTGGCAGAACCCGGGGCTGGAGTTAAAAGAGGGATCAACCTAGAATCCCTAAGTAGTCACAAGTGAACTAAAGTCCAACTCTCTTTGAGTGCCCTTGCCTCTTATCTAGCTTTAACCAGGTGCTGATCATTAGTTGAGAAGGCAGGACAAGAAGCAACGGATGGAAACTAAGCAAGGAGAGAAGCAACCTAGAACTAAGGAGTAACTTCCTGACAGTTAGAAGAATTAACCAGTGGAACAACCTGCCTCCAGAAGCGGTAAATGCTCCAACACTGGAAGTCTTTAAGAAGAGACTGGACAGCCATTTGTCCGAAATGGTATAGGGTTTCCTGCCTGAGCAGGGGGTTGGACTAGATGACCTCCAAGGTCCCTTCCAACTTTATTATTATCATTCCTGTTCATAGGCTTTTAGCAGTAAATTGACTGGATTGAACCTTCACAGGTGGACTTTCACACCTGATATAACCAGACATGGAAACCAGACCCAATGTCTTGAATATCTGGCATCAGAGCTGGCTGTTTAAGAATACGTCTACCGAATAGTTCTTTACGTGGCATATGCTGCATTTTCAGAAGATTCTAGCTTTTTCTTTCAAGTATCTCCCAGTATCTTAAATAGTTAAAAAGAAGGAAAAGATCCTGGAAGGCTTGTTTATGCCAAAGAACCGTCATGATTGAACAAGCTGGAGGCTGAACTGTTCCATAAATGAATCTAAAAATAACTAAGGAATGGACATAATTATGACATTAAAGCAAGGGACGGTCTTAATTCACACACACACTTCAGTTTCTGGTTTGAATTCAGTCTTGGCTTAACCTCAAGTGCTTCCCAGGGATCTGGATCAAGGGATTCACTGGATTTATTTAGATTTTCTTCAACCAGTAGCACGCAGAAACAAACGTCATTGTTTAGGACACAGAGGCATTCCCCCCCCCCCCCAGTGTCTAGCAGGTAATGGGAACCAGTTGGGATGAAAGGAAGGAGGGAAGTGATACAATCTCACAGCTTGGGAACAGAGGAAGGAAGTTTAAATCATTACACAATATCTGTTTCTATACTTGTAGGGCTCTGCTAAGCGTTCCTCTGCGAAATCAGGGTGTTTTATACATATACATATATGTGTGTGTGTGTGTGT